TGTCTTGGAACTCACTTTGTAAACCAGGCTGGACTTGAACTCACATAGATCTGCCTGCTTCTGCCTTCCACGTTTTGGGACTGAAGGCACTTGGCTAAAAGGACTTAAAGTTTATTATTTTATGTGTATGGACATTTGCCTGCATGTATGTATTACGTATACCACATTCATACTTGGTGCCCTAGGCGGCCAGAAGAAGGTGCCGAGTTTCCCTGGAACATGGAGTTACAGTTGGTTGTGAGCTACTGTGTGGGTGCTGTGAATCAAAACCCAGGTCCTCTGCAAGAGCAGTTAGTAATCTTAACCACTCAGCAATCTCTCCAGCCCCTTATAGAATGTGGTAGCTTGAATGTTATTGACCCCCATAAGCCCTTAGGGAGTATCACTATTAGGAGATGTGGCTTTTTTACAGTGGGTATGTCCTTATTAGAGGAAGTATGTCACTGGGGTGGTCATGCTTTGAGGCTCCCTATGCTCAGGATACTGCCTGGTGTCTTCAGTTGACTTTGTTGCCTGCAATATGTAGGATCTCAGCTACTTCTCCAGTACCATGTATGCCTGCACACTTCCATGTCACTATGCTAATGGACTGAACCTCTGAAACTAAGCCACCCCAGTTAAATGTTTCCTTTATAAGAGTTGCCATGGTCACAGTAATAGAAACTCTTCCCAGTAGTAGAAACCCTAAGACAGATGGATTGCTGTCATTAAAGTTTCAGTTATACAAAAGAAAAGGGATTTTTTTTTAGGGGGGTATATTCAGGTTTATCAAAATAATAGACCAGGGGGTGACTTAGTAGTGCTTAATTGTAAAAGCCTGACAACCTGATAATTGATTCCACTGAAAAGTAACAACAGAGCTGACTCCACAGTTTTCCTTTACTTTCACAAATGTCCCCTGCAGGTCCTGTACCATTTCGTGTGTGTGTGTGTGTGTGTGTGTGTGTGTGTGTGTGTGTGTGTGTGTGTGTGTGTGTACACAAATTTTTTTTGGGGGGGGACAAGGTGCTTGGCTAGCATGGAAGAGATTAGCCTGCCTCTGCCTGCTAAATGCTAGGATTAATGGCAATTACCATTATGCCTGGCCATTAATAATAAAAAAAAATTTTTTTTTTGTTTTGTTTTTTGAGACAGGATTTCTCTGTGTAACAGCCCTGGCTCACCTGGAACTCATTTTGTAGATCAGATTGCCTTCAAACTCACAGAAATCTGCCTGTTTCTGCCTTCTGGGTGCTGGGATTAAAGGGATGTACCACCATGCACTGCTCATTAATAAAAAATTTTAAGACATAGTACATACACATCACAGTATGCAGGAGGATTTTGACTTTAAGAGCAGCTTAAACTATATAGGGAGACTATATCAAAAGAAAAGACGACAAAACAGGGAAAGGGCAGCTCTAAACATTCACTCTGGGTGTTATTGCTCTCTCTCTTCCTCTTCTCTTTCTCATACTCACTCACATATTCAACACAAAACCCCCAGAAGTTAGTAGTCCTGAAACTGAGTTGAATGTTTGCTTTTTTTTTTTTTTTTAAACTTGACTATATTAGAGCACTAATGAGTGATGAGCCCAGTGTTTAAACCTCTGTTCTTTCTGATCTCTTGCCTTCCAGATGATGTCCCTTGTATCTACTCAGGGCCGTGAAGAACACTAGATCTCCTCTGTGTTATGCCTGCTGATAAGGGTCCGTTGTTGGTGTTAGTTGTTGCTGTCCTTTGTGCTCTCTTGGGTGACAGTGCTTGTCAGGGTTCTCTGCCAAAGTGGTGCATAGTTTGTACACAGGCTCTTTAACTTCAAACTCTACATGAATGCTTTCAGATGTGTTTTTGGCAAAAATGAAACTTTTTGATGTCTATTTGCGGTTGTGGTAGTTGTTGGCTTGTTAGAATGCTGAGTGGCAGCTATCACCTGAAGTATGAGCTCCTTGGTAGACACAATGATAGTTCCCTACATGCAGCAGCATTTTGGATTTATATTGTTATGACAGTGTCCTGTGCCATCAGCCCCCACCTCCAAAAAAAGCTGCTTTTATTTATTTATTTATTTCTTTTGGTTTCAAGACAGGGTTTCTCTGTATTTCTTTGGAGCCTGTCCTGGAACTAGCTCTGTAGACCAGGCTGGCCTTGAACTCACAGAGATCCACCTGCCTCTGCCTCCTGGGAGTGCTGGGATTGAAGGTGTGTGCCACCACTGCCCAGCTTTGTTTTTGTTTTTTTAAAAGCTGCTTTTATAAAACCAGGAGATGGGCCAGTGCAACTTTCGAGTGCTTTCTCCATTCAGCACTGAAGTTCTGTGAGTGTTACATACAGAATATGATTAAATACTAAGAGTTGCTTAATGCAGTTAGAGAATGGGATAAGTGTTCTGTCTTGATCTCCTGCTTCCTGCAGAACTGAATGACTAGATAATGTGTGCCTAACTGCCTGGAAAGCTCCATAGATAGATCCCCATACTAGAAAGGATACATCTAACATTTAAATCATATTATGTTCCTATTGAGGTCATAGGGTTTCACACTATTTTCCTTTCTATTTTGTTATTTTTTTTTCAGTGCTGGGCCAGAATTTTTAGATTTTTTTTTGGGGGGGGGGAGACAGACAAGAGTTCGTCTTTGTAGTTATGATTGTCCTTGAACTCTGTAGACCAGGCAGGCCTCGAACTCAGAGAGCTACCTGCCTCTCTGCCTACTTAATGGAGTTTCAGGCCTTATTTAATTTATGAATACTAAATATCACCTCTGAACTTCATCCTAAAGTCTACTTAATTTTAGACAAGTTAAAAAAAAGTTACAAGCCTTTAGTCCCAGCAATCAGGAGGCAGAGGCAGTCGGGTTTCTGTGATTTCGGGGCCATCCTGGTCTGCAGAGGGCATTTCAGGGCTGCCTCCAAAGCAATACCAGGAAACCCTGTCTTGAAAAACAAACAAAAAAGTTACATGTGTAGGTTTTTTGATGCACAGCCTTTGGAATGGCTAAAACACTGTGATCTCCAAAGTACAGGTTGAGATGAGCTCTGACCTGATGCCATGTAGCTCTGGGAACCTTTCCTTGTATGAATATCAAAAAATTCTTCCCTTTCACATTTTTGTACTTTTAATGTTTATTGTTGAGAAAACAGTGAAAAAGCTCAGTGAGGCCAGGTGTGGTGGTGCACTCCTTTTATTCTAGCATCATGTGGGTGCTGAGAACCAAGCCCTGGTCCTCTGCCAAAGCAACAAATATCTTAACCTCTGAGCCATCTCTCCAGCTCTAGTTCCCTCTTATTTTGAGCTAGGGTCTAGCTGTGCAGCCTATTCTGACCTGGACTTCAACTCATATTTCTTTTTACTTCAGCTTCCTTTCTTCTTTTCATTTTAGTTCAAGTGCTTAGCATTCATCCCAAGGCAGAGCATTAAAACTTGGTGTCAGTTTTTGTCTCCTAGCTGGATAGAGTGAGCACCATAGCTTTGAGAGTTTGCAGTGTCTTGAACTCTATCCAATCTTGGGTCACTTTGTCTGTGTAAACAGGGGTAATGTAAACTTGAGTTCTAACTTTGAAGTTACATCACATGCTGGGCAGGTTGCTGTGAGTTTAGATGCTATGGTATGTGAGAAGCCTGACTCTGGCAGATTGGGGGATTACCCGTGGTCTTAGCCTTTCCTCTTTATTGCTCAAGATGGGCTTCTGCCTCAGACTTCCTTTCCTATCCCTGAAAGTTTTTGTAGAAAACTTTGTTGCTTTAGCTTCGATTTCAGTAAGGATATCTGCATGACACTCTAGAACATCCTTCTGTCCAAATGATGCACAGATAAATTTGACATAGGTTGGGCTGAGGATTTCCCTGCTTACTGTCTCTTGAATAGTTGCTGTATATTCAATTGCAGGTTTGTCGCTTTCTTTACTAACCCTCTTGGTGTGGGATGTAAAATGCATCATTGCATCACATAGCTGAGGTGCTGCTTGTATAACACAAATTTGTTTCCTGAGAAAAACTTCTCACAAAAATGCACATGTAATGTAGAAAATTTTAAATTGAAGGTGTTTAAAATTTTTTAATTAATATATGTGTATAGGTGTTTTTCCTGCATGTATGTGGGTGCAACACGTTGGTGCATTGCTCTGGGAAGCCAGAAGAGGGTGTTGGATCCCTATAACTGGAGATACAGTTGTAAGCAGTGATGTGGGTATTGGTAATTGAATCTAGGTCCTCTGGAAGAGTGTCAAGTGCCATCTTTCTAGCGCCTGGATTTTAATTTTAAACCTATAGTCTCTTTGCTAAACACTTTGGAACACATTTGTCTTCCTTCTCCCAGCCTGCAGTCTCAGTGCTTGTTGCAGTGAATGTCTTTGAATCTGCTTTACTTCATTTCCCTTCATTTTGCTTTTATACTGCTGTCGGTATCTTTCCACATAAGAAATTACTGTGCCAAGCTGTCTTACATCTGAAAACCCTGTAGTGGCCTGTATCACTTAGATGAGTAAGGCCACAGATCATAACCTCACATGTGGGTCCCTGTTGTGTGACCAGTTCATTGGAATGCATTGTTTAGAAGACATTTGTCTTGATTTCTTCCTCTGAACTCAATATTGTCATATACTTAGGAACCTGTGCGCAGTTCACTTTTGCCTCCTTGGATCTTGTAGTGTATATTTACTTTATTTGTAGTCCTAGATGTTCTGAAACTCAGTGTGTAGACCAGGCTGGGCTCAGACTCACAGAGAGTAGTCTGCCTCTGCTGCCTCCTGAGCCCTGGGATTAAAGGTGGAGACTCCCATGCATATTTTACGAATTTCACTTTTAACTTGGTTTTAGTCCAAAGTCTAGGGAGTAAAAGAGACTTGATCTGAATGCTGTGCTTCTGTTGTCCTTTCATTTTAGTGTGAGGGTTCTGGGATCAAAGACTCTTTTTCTAGCATTTAACAGGTTCTTCCTAAGTACTGACTGACCATCTCTGATAGACAGTGTAGGGTTGTTTGTGTTTAGAAGAGCATTAATATCTTTCACTTTATTCTAAAGATGGTGGAACCAGGTCAAGATTTACTGCTTGCTGCCTTGAGCGAGAGTGGGATTAGTCCGAATGACCTCTTTGATGTTGATGGTGGAGATGCCGGGCTTGCAACTCCTACTGCCCCTTCAGTTCAACAGGTAAGTTTTCCAAACCCTCTAGAATTCCTTCTTAATTTGCAATTTCCACTGTCATTTATCATTACTAGTTTTTTTTTTTTTTTTTTTACTGTTTGTGGTGTTGGGGATTGAACCCTGGAACTTCTGCTACTAGGCAGGCACTTACTGCTGATGTACATTTTCATCTCTTTACATTTTAGAAAATGATATTAGATATATGTTAACTCTTGTTTTTTCTAAACAGGGTTTCTTTGTGTAGCCCTGGATGTCCTAAAACTTTCTTTTTAAATGAGACTGGCTTTGAACTCACAGATCCACTTGCCTCTGCCTCGTGTGTGGTGAATTTTTTTCTATAGTGTTTTTATTGACATATTACTTGCATCAAAACCAAGACATTGCTTTTCATGTTGCTTAATAAACGGTATAGGAAGAGCATTAATTTCCTTTACAGTTGCCTTTGGTCTTTACTGGGACCTTTTTTCGTGTGATTTCTCTATTTACATTTGCAAAAATAAACTTATGATATATTAGTTCAGTTTTGTGGTGATTTTATGTTGACCAATATTATTCTGGTTATAAGTAGAATAGTGATTGTAAATATGTTTGATTGTAAACCTTGACTTTGTGTATATGGTACTGGCGTCTGAGCCAAGGACTCTGCAGATTAGACAAGTGCTCTACCTCTCAAGTAGAATCCAGCTCTGAAGTTTTTGTTTTTAATAAACGCAACTCTTGTTCTTGAAACAGAATTTATTGTTGTCCATCTTTTCTCTTATATTTTCTCTATAGTCGATGCCACTTAGTGCATTAGAACTAGGTTTGGAGACAGAAGCAGTAGTTCCTGTTAAACAAGAACCAGAGACAATGTCTACTCCTGCACTGTTAAATGTGAGGGTAAGAGCCACTTAGATTTGGTATTATTTCTAAAATGGTTTGGAGTGGTAGCAAAAAGAAAAAAACTATTTTATTTATTTGTTTGTTTGTTTATTGGTTTTTCAAGACAGGGTTTCTCTCTGTAAATAGTCTTGGTTGTCCTGGAACTCTTTGTAGACCAGGCTGACCTCACTGATACCTGCCTACCTCTTGTTTCTTGAGTGCTGGGATAAAGGCATGTGCCATCACATTATTTTACATTATTTTAAATTATTACATTATTTTAAATAAATATCTTTAGCCCTGGCTAGCCTTGATTTCCCTATGTACCAGAGGATACTAGTATATTGTAAATCATTAAAAAACAACAACAAAACAATTGGTGAAATGAAGATTGAATGTACATGCTATCTCACCATTTACAGGGTTTGGTGCCTTGGCTTTGTCAGTTTTTTGCTATAACTTTTATTTGATTAAATGTGCTTTACGTACAGAGTTCTTCTGACCTTATCACAAATATAGCCAATATCGACAAACTTTAGAGAATATAAAATATTGTTTGAACTGGTTATAATTTGTCAATGTGTATTAATTTAAAAGGTATTAATTTAAAAGTGGTACGTATCAATCTAGAAGATTTTTATTGGAAGAGTTATGGAAACCGACTAGAGTTGTAGCTTAGTGGTAGAGGACTTTGTTTGCAAGTGCCAGACCCTGGGATGATCCTCAACACAAGGACAAACATATAAATGAGATAGGGTCTTATGTAGACCATGTTGGCCCTGAATTCAACTTCTGTACATTCTGTGTCTCATTGCTAAGTGTGGCTCTTGAGCCACTGCACTTTTTCTTTTTTTCCTCCCTGTTTTCTTCTCAGTTTCCAAGTGCTGGGATTAACTATGTATGTCATCATGCTTGGTGACCATAAAAACCTTAAAAAAAAGAAGAAAATTGAACTCAAGAAAACCTAGGTCTTCAGTGGTTTCTATGATTTACCTAGAGTTTTCTGGGGCTAGAATTATTTGCTCTTGCTAGGCCTATTAGAGTTACTATAATTCACAGCTAGCTTGGGACAGCTTTCCATTTTAATTTATATCCTTTATGCTTGTATAAAATGTCAAAATACTACCACACCCTTTCCTGCTTGTTTTTAACCTAATAATTTATAGCTAATCATTAAATTAGCAGTAAAGAGCCAGGCAGTGGTGGTACATGCCTTCAATCTCAGCACCCGGGAGGGAGAGGCAGGCTGATCTCTGAGTTCAAAGCCAGCCTGGCATACAAAGTGAGTTCCAGGACAAGCTCCAAAGCTACAGAAACACCGTGTCTCCACTCCCCCCCAAAAAAATTAGTAATACAGTTCTATTACTTAAGCAAGAATAGAATAAAATTTCAATTGTGTATATGTTGACTCTCAGCTCATACATGCCCCAGCAGGCATGTGGTCAGAGAATAGTTCTCACTTTTCACCTTGTTGGCAACAGGGTTTCTCTCTACCTCCCATGTCACTGTTGGAGTTTGGTTACAGATGTGGGTGACTGACTGGACATGCGTTCTGTGCATCTTTCCCTTTTGAGCCTTCTCTCTATCCAGCATCTAGTTTTTTTTAGATTTCTAAGTGGCTTATTGGGTTTACGGATACAGACTGTCAAAGTCAAATTGAGTGTGTGAAGTGTTCTTTTCTTTTCTAGCAGCAGCCTCCATCTACTACAACATTTGTGCTGAATCAAATAAACCAACTTCCGACCTTGGGATCTACAATTGTAATGACTAAAACACCACCTGCAACGACCAATAGGCAAACCATCACTTTAACAAAGTTTATCCAGACCACGGCAAACACACGCCCTTCAGTCTCAGCACCAGCAGTACGAAATCCCATGCCCCCTGCTCCTTCAAAAGACCAGGTTCAATTGAAGGATTTACTGAAAAATAGTAGTCTAAATGAACTCATGAAACTGAAGCCACCTGCTAACATTGCTCAGCCAGTTGCAACTGCAGCTAGTAAGTTGTTTGTTTACAGCTGCTTGAACTTCCTGTCTTTCACAAGCTCCTTTGTTTTTTTTTGTTTGTTTGTTTGTTTTTGTTTTTGGTGTGTGTTTCACATGTGATTTTGAGTGTTTTGTTTAATATTTTTTCTGAGTGTATCTTGAGTGTATGTATGTATGTATACCTTACACATGAAGTACTCATGGAGGCCAGAAGAGGGTATCAGATTTCACTGGAGCTGGAGTTAGTTTCTTTTTTCTTTTTTTGGTTTTTCGAGACAGTGTTTCTCTGCATTGCTTGGAACCTGTCCTAGAACTAGCTTTGTAGACCAGGCTGGCCTCAAACTCTAAGAGATCCACCTGCCTCTGCCTCCCGAGTGCTGGGATTAAAGGTATGCACCACTAACACCTGGCTATGGTGTTAGCTTCTTGTGAGCTGCCTTGTGGATGCTGGGAAATGAACCTTAGTCCTTTGCAAGAGCAGTAAGCTGTCTTAACTGCTGAGCCCTCTCTCCAGATCTGCTTTTGATTTTATTTGGTTTGGTTTGGTTTTTGGTCCCCAACTCCACCCCTAAGATGGTTTCTCTGTGTAGTCCTGGTTGTCCTGGAACTTGTTCTGTAGATCAGGCTGTCTGCCTCCCAAGTGCTGGGATTAATTGTGCTCACCACTACCACCACCTAGTTTAAGAATGTGGGGTTTAGAGTTTGAAACATCTTTTGCTCATTCAGTGTCTGGTTGGGCTGGTGAGATGGTTCAGAGTTTAAGATCCCTTGCTGCTCTTTCAAAGGTTCTGAGTTCCCAGCAACCATGTGGTGGCTCCCAACCATACATACTGAGATCTGGTGCCCTCTTCTGACCTGCAGGCATATTCATGCAGGCAGAAAGCTGTATACATAATAAATAACTAAATCTTAAAAAAAAAAAAAAAAAGTGCCTGGTTAGTGTATTGTGCCTGTTCCCTTCTGTACTTTGAGGTGTTCCTGGGGAAAAAAACTTGTCCAGGAGCCCATGTTATACTGCAGAAAGATAAATTGTGAAGATGTTGTATTTCTGAGAAGGGCTAGGGCCTATGAGAAGTGAAAGGTACATGGATGGTAGGGCGGGTGTAATCCTCTCATTGTGCCTGTGTCTGCCCTGTCCACCAGCACCTCTCTCCCTTGGGAGGTTGGTGTTTCCCATCGTCCTGTTATAGAACTCATCAGACAGGCTAAGCTAGTCTGGCTAGCCAGTGAGTCCCAGGGACCCTCCTGTCACCACCATACCCAACTTCCTAGCTTTTTGTTTTTTGTGGGTTTGGTTTTTTGTTTTTGTGTTTGTGTTTTTTTAAAAGACAGTATTTCTCTGTGTAACAGCCCTGGTAGGCCTAGAACTCACAGAGATCCATCTGCCTTTGAGTGTTGGGATTAAAAGCATACGCTTCCATTGCCCAACAGATAGTGTTTGCTTTTTGAAATGAATAAACTGCTGAATTTTTAAAATAGAGGAAAAGAAATTGAGACTTGTAAAGTTTAATTCACTTGTCTTTTTTGCAGCTGATGTCAGTAATGGTGCAGTAAAAAAAGAATCTTCTAATAAAGAAGTAGCAAGGATATGGATAAATGACATGAAAATGAGGAGTTTTTCTCCTACCATGGTGAGTTTTAAATAGTTATATTGATATCTATGTAATATAGAAGTTACTTGGCTAAAATTACTTTTAAAAACGTCTTAGAAAGCTTGCTGATTGGAAGAAGGCTAATTAATTACAAAAAGTAGGGCTGCACTTGCATCTTTCATGGGCAGTGGTATCGCATGCAGGACTGACCTTTTTTTATTCATCTACCTAGTCAGGAAAAATGACAGCATGGTTAGCTGTAAACCTTTGATAACTTGGTAGAACCGAAATAAATGGCCAGTTAGGAGCTGTGCGATCATGCAGTGATCTGGATGAGTTGTTAAAATAATATTTTCCCATCTCTGGAAGTGCTATGTGCATATTAGGTCAGGTTCTTGAGATAATGTTTCTGGATGGCAGTGTGTCTGTGCAGTACCAGTATGAAAGGACTTCCCTCCATGAGTTCTCTTTCAGTAAACATTACTTGGCACCATCTGGACATAAGGGTTTGTATAAGGGACAACAAAAGGTGCAATGTGGATCAGGTGTGGTGGCATGCATGCACCTTTAAAATCAAGGGGGAAAAAAGGTACACCAAAGGCTCTGTGATTCTGTAGGCTTTATGGGAAAGGGTTGTGTTGGACTTTGACCAGGGATTCAGAAGGAAGCATAAATACTAAGGTTTGGCTAGCTCAGTCGGTAGACCATGAGACTCTTGAACACTAATAGGCACTGAGGAGCTGGTGGCTCTGCTTACTGCTCAGTGAGCCAGGGCGTGCAGAAGACCTGGCAATAGAAGAAGTCCTATGGAGGGATTGAGTTATAAATACACATTAGAGGGAGAAGGGCTTGCTAGTGGTTTCAGGTGGATAGACAGGAAGAAAGAAAGGCAGGCAGATAGGATGATTTGAGGAATATTTAAAATGGGGAAAAATTTATCAGAATGTTTGATTCTCTAAAATCTTAGTTTGAAAGCTTGTGCATTTAGGTGTTCCACTTTTTTTCTCCACACTTGTTCTTTCAAGTCCTTTATTGAAGAGAGAGGCTGAAGTTGAGAGAAGATGAGCATTGATGGGCAGAGTAGTTCCAGATTGTAGCTGGAGGGAGTAGAACCCTATGTTGGCTCATTTGCTGTTAATGCTGTTCTCATTTAGATAGGCAGGCGATAAAATGGAAAAAGGTCCCATAGATTCTGGCCCTTTGTCTCTAGACTTAAGATTGATAGCATTTTTGTGTTACAGAAGGTTCCTGTTGTGAAAGAGGAAGATGAACCAGAGGAGGAAGATGAGGAAGAAATGGGACATGCAGAGACCTATGCAGAGTACATGCCGATAAAATGTATGTCTTTAGGTTTCGTCAAAATGAAAGAAAGGCTTGGGTCCCTCTTGAACTTAATTGTCTCTTAAACCATGCCTTATCCCATATGGTTAGGTAGGGCTAGAGGTGTACAAACTTACCCAGCTAAGTTTGGGTGTGTAGGGGTTGACCAGACCTGCCTGCCTCTGCTCCCTGTGTGAGGTCTGCTTTAAACTAGGTAATATTTCATCATGAGTTTCAAAACTGTGTGATTGGGTCATTTTACTCAAATATTACAGTTAGTAACTTTATAAGCTCAAAGTAAGTGGTTACTATTGTCTCTGTCGTAATACAAATTTTGTACTATCTTGTAATAAGATCTGAAATGTTACTAGGATAACTTAAAACATTCTAAAATTTTTGTTTAGTGAAAATTGGCCTGCGTCACCCTGATGCAGTAGTGGAGACTAGCTCTTTGTCCAGTGTCACTCCTCCTGATGTTTGGTACAAAACATCCATCTCTGAAGAGACCATTGATAATGGCTGGCTCTCAGCATTGCAGCTCGAGGCAGTTACCTACGCAGCCCAGGTAATTCTTAGTTAAGTTTGATGGTTTATTTTGGCGTATAAAGTATAGCTTTTTGTTCAAATATATTTACATACAAAGTTTTTGTAAGTATCTCCGGCTATCCTGGAACTCTGTTTAGACCATGCTGGCCTCAGATTCAAAGAGATCCACCTGCTTTGGCCTCTTGAGTGTTGGGACCACAATACCTGGCTCATTTTATTATTTGTTTAAATGTATGGATGTGTGTGTCTTATGAGTGTATTCTACATGTGTCAGGTAATGACAGAGGCCAGAAGAAGAAGTTGGATCCTTTCCACCCCCAAGCTAGAGTTAACAGATAGTTGTGTGTCACTTGATCTGGGTGCTGGGAATCAAATTTTAGGTACTCTGGAAGAACAGTAAGTGCCCTTAATCATTGAGTCATCTTTCCAAACCCCATGTAATACAATTTTAAAACAAAGGTAATTTTTCCTGCCAGAAAAACTTGTTTTAAACAGGATTCTTAAAAAAAAGTATATATTAACCAGACAGTGGTGGCACACACCTTTAATCTCAGCACTTGGAAGCCAGAAGCAGGCAGTTCATAGCAAACCTGGTTTGCAGAGTGAGTTCCACAACAGCCAGAAACATACAGAGAAACTGTCTCAAAAAGAGAAAAGAAAAAATAGATTATATATTAGGAAAAGAGAAGGTATGGCAGGAATCTTGAGAATGCCTTCTAGTAGAAATGACAAGTTGTGGCCTAAAATTTTATGTGGGAATATTGTTAATAAGGAAGACTGCATTTTATCTTTTATCCAAGAGTTATACTGTAAGGAGTAAGGTTTTTCCACCCGCCGCCGGTCTTGTCCTACCGCCGTGCCACCCCAAATAACACACTGAGACTCTGTTTTTGATATAATGCTGTTGGCCAGGTACTAGTTTCTTATCGGCTAGCTCTGTCTTAAGTATTAACCCATTTCTATTAATCTCCACGTGGTCTTATCTTACTGGAGAGAGAGGCGTTCTACTCTCTCTGCCTTCCATCTTGACTCCTCCTTACTACTTCCTCTTTCCTCCTTGTCTCCTAGTCCCTCTCTTTCTTTCCTGTTGGCCAACAGTGCTTTATTCATTAACCAATATGAGAAACATATATACAGAATGACATCTCCCATCATCTTCTACTTTTAGGAATCTGAGGCATATGTAAGAATGTGTTTCCCCATATTTTTTTTTCCCCTGTTGAAAAGATTTGAGTGCCAATAGGGCTAGTATACTGTACTATTGCTAATTACACTATGTGTGGGATTCACTTCAGTTATGCTTGAAGAGATTTTGTTTTAGCTCCATTTCTGTAGGATAAACAATGCTGGGAATGGCCAACTGTCCCCATGGTTAAGTATCATGTGAAAGTTGACATATTGTTAGGCAGGTGTTCAAAGGTGTAGGGAAACTACCTCATTAATATCCTGTCTTTGCTGCTTAGTGCATGGCAGGGTAGAAGAAAAAAGTATAGTACCTATAGAGAGAGAATGTCTATACTAGGGGTCACTCTTATGTCAAAGTGCATAAAGGGTAGTGTCACATTTCTGTGATTGTTTTAATTGGTTAGGAGCTTAATTACTGAATCATGGGTAATTTATCAGTTGCCTTGATGAAAAAAATGACACCAGTTCTTTTCCCTTTATAGCAACATGAAACATTCCTCCCTAATGGAGACCGTGCTGGCTTCTTAATAGGTGATGGTGCTGGTGTGGGTAAAGGCCGGACAATAGCAGGGATCATATATGAAAACTATTTGTTGAGCAGAAAAAGAGCATTGTGGTAAGTTCCAATGGGTTGGCTGACTGAAGCTCCTATTTTTTTTTTTTTTTTTTTAAAGACCTGACTGTATTCCTTAGTTCTGTGAAAAAATACAATTCAAGTTTAATTTAGTTTACCTTTTTTTTTTTTTTTTTTTGGACAGGTTTAGTGTATCAAATGACTTAAAATATGATGCTGAAAGAGATTTAAAGGATATTGGAGCAAAGAACATTTTGGTCCATTCATTAAATAAGGTAGGGAGGCCTCCCTGTTCAATGGGGTTATCGGTACATACTTATTCATCTATGAGAATGGGACAATTGTTTTTTTTTTTTTTTTTTGTGGGTTTGTTACAAGGACCAAATGAGCTATTCCACACAACACACATCCTGGGCTGTAGCAGACAAAGTGAGCATGGTCCCTGGTGTAATGGAGTTTATTTTCTTTTATTTGTCTTAGTTTCTAGAGAGCTTTGTATACCTGTCCCATATGGAGGCTAGTGAGAACTGTTATGGTTTACATGTTGTCGGTATTTCTTTAGCAGAATTGAAGGACTTACTTGTGTTGGTATGGAAACAAGAAAGTGGGTATCTGTATCTAAAACACATTTTAATATGAGTAGAATTTAAATGATTACCTAGTACATTTATTGTTTTAAGAGAGGGTCTTACCCTATATAGCCCATGCTGAAGTATAACTCACAGCAATCCTCCTGTCTCAGGATCTCCCTAGTGCTGAGTTTAAGCATGTAAGGTGCCATGCCTGGCACAAACCGTGTTTTTGTTTTTTGAGACAGGGCCTCATTATGTATCCCTGGCTGTTCTGGAACTTGCTCTATGGACCAGGCTAGCCTCATACTCAGAGATCTGCCTAACTCTGCCTTCTGAGTGCTTCGTTTAAAGGCAGGTGCCACCAAGTCTCGCCTCCTGGCACAAATCTTAATATGTACTATGTGCACTTTGTTGGTTTTGAAGAATCCTAGAAGGATCTAATTTTATAAATTAAAAAAAAAAAACAAACAAACAAAAAAAAACTTTTAGCCAGGTGGTGGTTGCATATGCCTTTAATCCCAGCACTCAGGAGGCAGAGGCAGGCAGGCATCTCTGAGTTCAAGACCAGCCTGGTCTACAAGAGCTAGTTCCAGGACAGGCTCCAAAGCCACAGAGAAACCTTGTCTCCAAAAAATAAATGTTTTTAAAAAGTGGTATTGCATGGGCAATAAGATTCCAGGGCACAATATAGGCTGCTGGATGTTTATTCAGGGAGAAATCACTTACACCAGAAACAAATGACCGCCACTTGGAGTGGAGGTTCCCACTCCAAGGATGCCTCCCCATGCTCTCTGTCTCTGAGCAGGAAGTAAGAGAGCGAGCTGGGGGTCCGGGACTCCAGACCTAGCCCCCACTGGTCATGTAAGCATCTGTCCCCACACCCTAACAACAGGTGGGGGTGGGGTGGATATCTCAGTACAAAGTTGTGCCATGACACAGTGTTCAAATGGAGGGTTGTTGTTGTTATATTTTGTTTTTTAATTAAGGGAAAGGGACTATAAAAATGGGAAAGGGGGGAGACCAGCCTTCAGGGACAGGAGCAGTGGGAGACAGAGAAAAGGACAGAGAGAGGGAGAGAAAGGGGGAGGGAGGGATAGGAGATGGGCAGGGCACTTTGAAAGGGAATACAGTGAATAGGCACAGCACAGATGGTGCTCTTAGTGGCAGCAGCTGAGGATGTATCCTGTCAGAACCCCAAAGGCAGACCAGTAAAAATGCCTACATACTGACATCGATTAGTCTTCATAATCAATGGCTATATTTCTGCTTTTCATGTTTTTATCTGTCCCATTGTTAGGACCTTGGTTCTCACTGCCTTTCCTTTGGTAGGTCAGTGGCTTTTCTGGTTAGGTTGTTTTTAATTGAGTAAATCTGCTGCTTTGTTTTGAATGATTGCAGCGTAAAACTAAAGCACAAGCACTGACATCTAGAAAAGGTTTATTTCTGAGCAGTGTAACCAAGAGGCACATTACTCGGAATTCTGTGTTTGGGGTGCTGCAGATAGAGCCCCAGGTGTTAGGCATGCTAGGCCAAGGGCTGGACCACAGAATCACATCCCCAGTTTATTTGTTAACGTTTGCCCTGCTGGTGTCCTCTATTCCTCGACTCAGTCATAGTGCTTTGTGCATATATGATGAGTGCACACAGTAGACAATGCTGCGCTTTCCACCGGGAAGCTGATTTGACACTCTTTGTGGTGTTTGTACCATTTATGTATTGTAAGTTTTATCTGTTTAGATTTTCTGGAGTCTGTCATGAACCTACTAAGTTGACTCATAACTTTGAGGTAGGTACTTTTGAGAAGAGGATGTACTAATTTTCCTTTTTTTTTTTTTTTTTTTTTTTTTTTTTTTTTAGTTTAAATATGGAAAAATTTCTTCCAAACACAATGGGAGTGTGAAAAAGGGTGTTATTTTTGCTACCTATTCTTCTCTTATTGGTGAAAGCCAGTCTGGTGGTAAATACAAGACCAGGTTAAAACAGCTTCTGCATTGGTGTGGTGATGACTTCGACGGAGTGGTATCCTTTAATAGAGATTGGGTTTTTTTTGTTTTTAAAGATTTGTTTATTATGTATACAGAGTTCTGCCTGCTTGCATGTATGCCTACAGGCCAGAAAAGGGAACCAGATCTCATTACAGATGGTTGTGATCATGTAGTTGCTGGGAATTGAATTCAGGACCTCTGGAATAGTAGTCAGTGCTTTCAGCCTCTGAGCCATCTCTCTAGCCCAATCGTGTTGATTTTTAATGGCATAAAACTTATGTGCAGGTTGGGCAGTGATAGCAGAATCCTCAGGCAGGCAGATCTCCTAGTTCAGGGACAGCCAGGGATACACAAAGAAACCCTGTCTTGAAAAACAAACAAACAAGAAACCTGCTATTAAGAAAATTATGTGTAGATCTTTGGGAAATGTTTGACTAAGTGAATATTTTAGGGTGAGTCCTCAGAGCCTGTGAAGTCAGTTCTTTTGTATGTGTCAGATGTGGGGAGTGCCACATCCTGTTCCCCACTGCCTGTTCCATGGATTGTTTGAGAGTCAGGAAGCCGTGCTCACTTATTTCCTTGTAGCATAATTTCTGCTGTCCTGATGAGGTACCCCAAGTTCTGGAATAGTATTCTAAGTTAGTTGCCAGTTATTCTAGTTTACTGAAATTATAACTGTAGTGGATAGTTTTTGCCTCAGTGAATTCCTTCTTGCTTTCTTACAAGAAATAAATTGCTGTGAGCCAGGTCCCACTGACTGGAGCTGGAGAACTCCAATGGCAATACTGCATCATGGAATTTGGAGGAGGAGGCTGCCGAGATCTGAAAACAGGCTCTGATACTGTAAATAGTCTGATAAATGTTCAGCACAGCCTGAATGGCCCTTTAAATTTGCTGGATAAAACTCATCTTTTGTAGTTAAAATTTCTGTTGTTTGGCCCTAGCTGTGAGTTTCTAGAGCTGTTAAGAAGCTACGCAACAAGGGAAAGGAATGGAGACGAGGCACAGAGGAGTATGCGTAGAATCTTACAGAAAATAACTGTAAGCTCTAGGTATTTTTTTTTTTTTTTTTTGAATAAACAGTTTCTGCTTTTGATATGTACCTTAGCTCCTCTTTACAGATAGTGTTTGATGAATGTCACAAAGCAAAAAATCTATGTCCTGTTGGTTCCTCAAAGCCAACCAAGACAGGCTTGGCCGTTTTAGAGCTTCAGAACAAATTGCCAAAAGCCAGAGTTGTTTATGCCAGTGCCACTGGTGAGTATGCACTTGATTGATCAGAGAGATGTGTGCACATTGCGTTTGCATCTGTAATACATTTGGGGTTTTTCAGGTGCTTCTGAACCACGTAACATGGCCTATATGAACCGTCTTGGAATATGGGGTGAGGGAACTCCATTCAGAGAATTCAGTGATTTTATTCAAGCAGTGGAACGAAGGTAATAAGGCTTGTGGCACTGTTCTGCCAGAAACATTACTGTGTGGAAAATGCTGTTTTGTTTATTGATAGTTACTTTGTATTTTAATTTTGTTCAGAGGTGTTGGTGCCATGGAAATAGTTGCTATGGATATGAAGCTTAGAGGAATGTACATTGCACGACAGCTGAGCTTTACTGGAGTGACCTTCAAAATTGAGGAAGTTCTTCTTTCTCAGAGCTATGTTAAAATGTATAACAAAGCAGTCAAGCTGGTGAGAAATGTTTTGTCAATATTTTTAATGTGCCTGATAATTTTTTTAATGAGTCTTGTCAGTTGAAACATTTTCAACATAGAAGAATGTGTTTGGGCTGTAAAACAGCAGATATTGGTCAAAGTTGCTTTTTTGGCCAACATCCTTATTTTTATATTTTTATTTTTTATGGTAATTCATAAAAGACAGCCATTTGTTTTAGTTAAATCAAATTCACAATTGCATAGTAACCATGTCCTAAAATGACAGCTTTAGATAGTATACATTTTGAGATATTTATGTATGAGCATTCTAGAAATTGTCCGGAGATTTCCAAGTGACTGCAGATTATTTTGGTTGAAGGAGTCACTTTTAATTTTTGTGGAGACAGGTTCTCACTGTGTCATTGTGGCTGTCCTGGAACTCCCAGTTATGTTTCCACCAGGCTATCTTTGAACTTACAGAGATCTATGTACTTGTCTCCAGCCCGAGTGCTAGGATTAAAGGCATACCTGACTAAAGGTGTTACTTTTTCTTGTTTTTCCAGACAGGGCTTCTCGGTAGCTTTGGAGCCTGTCCTGGAACTAGCTCTGTAGATCAGGCTGGCCTCAAACTCACAGAGATCCACTTGTCTCTGCCTACCAAGTGCTGGGATTAAAGGTGTGCACCACCACCACCTGGCTAAAGGGGCTACTTTTTTTAGCAATGGATTTCAAATGTATATGTAATGTGTTGCCTATGTATTTCCAGTGGGTCATTGCTAGAGAGCGATTTCAGCAAGCTGCAGATTTGATTGATGCTGAGCAAAGAATGAAGAAATCTATGTGGGGTCAGTTCTGGTCTGCTCATCAGAGGTTTTTTAAGTACCTGTGCATAGCATCCAAAGTGAAAAGGGTAGTACAGCTGGCCCGGGAGGAAATCAAGAATGGGAAGGTAAGTTGGAAAACGTCGAGTGCAGTCTGTTTTCAGCTAACTAGACTTTGTCTAATGAGGCCTGCTACTTGGGGAATAGTCTTGTTTGTTTGTTTTGTTTTTGTCCCACTGTGTGGCTCTGGCTGTCCTGGAACTCTCTGTAAATCAAGCTGGTTTCTAATGTACAGAGATCTGCCTGCCTCTGCCTCCCGAGTGCTGGGATTAAAGGAATGTACCACCACCACCTGGCTTAAACTTTCTTTTCACTAGACATATGCTTTGAGAAGGCATATGCTGTGAGAAGCCACAGCATGTTATTTATAATTGTATATTTTGTGTTTTTCAGTGTGTGGTAATTGGTCTGCAGTCTACAGGAGAAGCAAGAACTTTGGAGGCCTTGGAAGAGGGTGGAGGAGAACTAAATGATTTTGTTTCGACTGCCAAGTAATTTTTTAAAATTTCTTCTTGAATATTTAGATGAAACGTCATTTTTCTTTTTAAACCGGTGTGATCTTTAAAATTTGCCTTCATCTAAGTTTTTACAATTCTGTGCTTTCCTTCTTTATAGCAAATCTTGTGGAAAATAATGTGTAGATAGTTCATAACCCTGAAAATGCTGAGCATTTGGCAGCCTTAAGAGTATGTGAACTAACACATCTGAATTTGGTTCTGTGCATCTTTAAGATGGCTTAATTTCAGGTTCAGTGGACTGTGTTTGGCGTGACCACTACTTATTTTGAGTGGCATTTATTAGTTTGCTACAGTAGAAGAGGATCTGCTCTAAGCATTTGAAACTGTGGACTGGAAAGATGTCTGGGTGCTTAAACCCATATTGCTCTCATAGAAGGCCAGATTTCCCATACCTATGTTTAGGTTCAACTCTAAGTGATCTCATACCCTCTTGTCTCTGTCTCTGAGGGCACCATATCCATGTACAGACACATGCATAAGTTTAAAATCAGTTTTGCAAAACAAAAAGTGGAAATTGGAATTGGAGCTTCAGAAAGTTTTAACAATATTAAAAGTTGTTGAGGGGTGGGTGTCGATGGCTCAGAGTTTAAGAGCACTCAACTAGCTGTTCTTACAGTGGGCCTACCTCCCACATGGTTCCCTGCAGTTCCAGTTCAGGGGATCTGATGCCCTCTTGACCTTTGAGGGCACCTGGCATACACATGGTTCATAGACATACATAGGGACAAACAAGCCATACACATAAAATAAATTTAAAAATGTATTTTCCTTAAATCTTAGAAAGTGTTAACTGAAAATAATAAGCCAACACAATAGCTTTGAGACTGTGCATCTGCTCCCCTTTAGGGACAAACATCCCAGTGCTTTGAAAGATTCCTGTCATTGAAAATAACTCATAAGAGCAAAATTTGAAGTATTTTTCTTTGTGAATCATTGAGAAAGTGCCACTTGTCACATGTAAAGCTACTAAGCAATTGCAATGACTATGTAGGTACATTTTATGCTGTTAATGTGAAACACACAAGGTTTCAAAGGCACATAAACCTGTCTGTGGTTCATACAGATGAGTGTTCAGTGCTTGCTCCTGTGTACAGACTTGTAGGTAGTTTCTTTTGTGTCTTCTATTGTTTTCTCTGTCTTTCCTGAGGGGGGGGGGGTCTCTGAACTGAAGCTCTGCCATTTCAGCTGGACTAACTAGCTAGTGAGCTCTCAGGATCTGCTTGTTTCAATCATGCAATGCTTGAGTTACAGGCATGTGCAGCCATGCTAAGCTTTTAATGTGTTTACTAGGGATTTGAACTCAGGTCTTCATGCTTGTTGCTGAGTAAGCCCTTACCCAATAAGTCATTTCCCCAGTCCCTGCCCTACTTTTTAATGTAAACTAGAAAGTATAAAAGATGGGTGGTGTCTTGCTTAATGCTATTGGACAGGTTTCTCTTAAAATTAACTGAGCTGAGTTGCAAATATTTCTGTTTTGGTTTTTCAAAATAGGGTTTCTCTGTGTAGCTCTGGGTGTCCTGGAACCATCTTGTAGTACAATTGGGCTGGCCTCAAACTCACAGAGATCCTCCAGGCTCTGCCTACTAATGCTGGGATTTAAAGTATGTGCCACCACAGCTAGAAATATTTTTATTTTTTCTTTGTTTCTTTTTTTTGGCCCACATTTTTATTATTATTATTATTATTTTTTAAATATCAATCACAGTTCACCCTCTCCCACAATCTCACCTCCTCTCCCTCCCCCCCATCTGCCCCAAAAAGAGGGCAAGGCCTCTCATGGGGTCAACAGAGTTTGTCACATCACCACCTTGAGGCAGGATCAAGGCACCTTCCCTGAGTCTAGTCTGAGCAAGGTATCTCTCCATAGGTAATGGGCTCCAAAAAGTCAATTCATACACTGCTCCCACTGCCAGTGGCCCTACAAACTGTTCAAGCCACACCATTGTCACCTGCATTCAGGGGTCCTAGTTGGGTCCTCTTCAGTCTGGAGTCTGAGTTCCTACTAGCTCAGGTCAGCTGTTCTGTTTGTTTCCCCATCATGGTGTTGATTCACTTGCTCATATTATTTCACCTCCCTCCCTTCAACTGCACTCTGGGAGCTGTGGCCCAGTGATTAGTTGTAGATCTCTGCATCTGTCCATTAGTTGCTGGATGAAGGTTCTATGATGACAATTACGGTAGTCCTCAATCTAATTATGGGGGAAGTCTAGTTCAGGCACTCTCCACTATTGCTTAGAGCCTTGTCTGGGGTCATCCTTGTGTATTTCTTAAGATTGAATAAAATGTATTTCTCTTAACTATATCTAGTAAGATTTTACAGTTGCCACATGAATTAGTAAGGTTCACTGCTTTTTTCCTACAGAGGTGTATTGCAGTCACTCATTGAAAAACACTTCCCTGCTCCAGACAGAAAGAAACTTTATAGTTTGCTAGGAATCGATTTGACAGCTCCAAGTAACAACAGTTCACCAAGGGATAGTCCTTGTAAAGAAAACAAAATAAAGAAAAGGAAAGGTGAGTGGTTTTTTTTTTTTTTTTTTTATAAAGTAGCTGATGGTTGAAATAGTTTGTGAGTTCCTGCCTGCCTTCCCTGAGTGGGAAGGGGCTGGTGCTTTCTTTGGTCTCAGGGAGCACACGAATGGTTCCACCTACTTTAATTAGCTGAATACTCTGTCCAGTACTTAGGAAATTAGAGTTAAGATTGTTTCTAAGTCCTGGGCAGGAGAAATGCATCAGCAGTTAAGCTTTTCCAGAGGACCTGAGTCCAATTCCCAGCATCCACATGGTGGCTCACAACCATCTGTGAGATCTGGTGCCATTTTCTTGCCTGCAGGAATACATGCAGGGAAAATGCTGTACACATAATAAGTAAATCATAAAAAAAAAAAAAAGAAAAGAAAAGAAAAAAGAAAAGAAAGAAAAAAATTGTTCTAAGTACACTTAGTCTTTGTGTTGTCAGAGCTGCTGTTTAATAGACATAGAACTGGCTGGTCAGTGTACCCACCCCCACCCCCTGTTTCTGGCAGTACTGGTAATGCTTGCCTTCTTCCTGCTTAAGCTTCTGGAGCACCGGGGTTACAAGATATGTTCTCCTTGCTGGTTAAGGCTAAAGAGGCTTTGGTTAGTATAGTTATTAATTTTTAGGGATGATTCACCCATGTTTATTAACTAGCTTATGTTGATGCAAGCTAAAATTTGTATTTGGGTGCCTTCTTTGCTTTTAGAAGTAAGTTATAGATTCTGATAAAGGTCATGGTGTTTTCCCAGGCCTGGGCTCATGCCTATGCCTACCTAGACAGCACTGGCAATCACATAGGCTCTAAGTAGTGACTGACTTGTCAAAATACATTCTTCATATTGAACCATTTTTTGTTACGTTCGTCTGTTGTTGCACATGTGCCACTGTGAATGTGTAAGTCATGGGACAACTTGCAGGGGCCGATCATTTCTTACCGTGTAGATTTTGGGGTCCAATTTGGGTCCTCAGTGTTTGTAACAAGTACTCTATCTCCTGAACTGTTTCATTGGTAATGCACCTGAAATAAGTACTCTGCACTTTTTAATTGAGTAGCACATGAAGTAATGGTGTCTTACGGTCAATATTGTGGTAGAGTAACTGACCTCTCCCCGTGTCTCAAGTTAGGTTTCCTCTGGACCATTAATAAGAGAACATGGAAGTGTTTGATTTTAGTTTTTGTACTTTCCCTATCTGTTTTCTTAATATTAGGTGATAAACCAATCACCTATTTACCTTTAAAACTGAGATTTTTATAAATCAGGATGTCTATCTGTTCCCTACCCTACCTTCATTTCTTTCAAGACAGGGTCTCATTAGATAGTCCTAATGCACCCAGAATTCAGTCTGTAGACTAGGCAGGCTTTAACCTCAACAGAGACCTGTCTTTGTCTGCCTCCCAAGTGCTGTGATTAGAGACTACCATACCTGGCTTATACATGAATTTTTCTCGGTATTTCATGTCTAGGTCCTAATGTCCTTCTTGCAACTACTTAACAGTTATGACTATATTTGGGTCTTTTTTGTACTCAGTCTTGGATTTGTATTTATTTTATATGGTTTTGAGAATTTCATGCATGCATGTAATAAGCTTTGATCCAGCCCCTCATTTTCTTTCCATTAGTTTTGAGTTTGTATTTATATATAGTTTCTTGCTGAGTAGCTGACTGTGACCAGAGTTTTAGATCTTCTGAGCTTGCTTTAATGTACATTCTTGCTTTCTGTAGTTTTTACTATAGACTCAACTTGTAATCTAAAATCCGACACCATAGGTCTTTAGAAACATTGAATTTCCAGCTGACTCTTGTTTGGGGCTTGGGGGTAGGCGAAGAAATAACTCGAGAAGCCAAAAAAGCAAGGAAAGTTGGTGGCCTTACTGGTAGCAGCTCTGATGACAGTGGAAGTGAGTCTGATGTCTCTGACAATGAGGAAAGTGACTATGAGAGCTCTAAAAACATGAGCTCTGGTGATGATGACGACTTCAATCCCTTCAGAGATGAATCCAGTGAAGACAACGAGGATGGTGAGTTCACTGAACTGTTGCATGAGAGCAGAAAGGGACTTAGCTGAGCTGCTGGGCTGTATGTGTGCTTGTCTTTAATCCCAGCATTAGGAATGTAGAAGCAGAAGGATCTATTGCTGTGAGTTTCAGGCCAACCAGAGTTACATAATGGGACCCTGTCTCAAAAATACACAGAAGATACTATTTTCTCAGTGCTGGAGAGATGGCTCAGTGATTAAGAGAATCTGTGTTGAGTTTCCAGCATCCCAGTTGGTGAACTCATAACTTGTGAACTACAGTTCTAAGGACACTGGGCTTCTATAGACACCTGTACTGTGTACACTAACCTATATATAGATACACACACATACCCATAGCTAAAAATCAGGTGTGCAGTGGTGGCACAGACCTTTTGTCTGGGACTTTGTCTGAGGCAAAGGCAGGCAGATCTCTGAGTTCGAGGCTAGCCTGGTCTATAAAGGGAATAACAGGACAGCCAGGGCTACACAGAATTCCCCTTCTCAAAAAGGGAGGGGAGCTATATTTTTCTAACAAATTATTCATACATATTTGCCTTATGTTTTAGATCCTTGGTTAATTAGGAAAGAGCACAAGAAAAGCAAAGATAAAAAAAAGAAGAAAAGTATAGATCCAGATTCCATTCAAAGTGCCTTGTTAGCATCAGGTCTTGGTTCGAAGCGGCCTAGTTTCTCTTCTGCACCAGTCATCTCTCCTGCTCCCAACAGTGCACCAGGTACTGTGCAGAAAGTCCTGTTTTGGAAATGTGCTATTAGTGGAAATTGGGTATTTAAGTGTGACTGATTAACAAATGTTCTTTATCAGCTAACAGTAACACCAACAGTAACAGTAGCCTTATAACGAGTCAGGATGCTGTGGAAAGGGCACAGCAGATGAAGAAAGACCTGCTTGATAAATTAGACAAATTAGCTGAAGACCTCCCTCCTAACACCCTGGATGAACTTATTGATGACCTTGGTGGTCCTGAAAATGTGGCTGAGGTAAATAGATGTGGTTAGTACTGTGCTCCTTCTTGTTATCACTTTCCTCTTTCTTTAAATCCTGTGATGTAAGTGTCCTGTTCTCTGGACACAGCTTAGAACCTTGTTCTGCTTTAGTTCTTGGGCTATGACTACAGAATGCCTGTGTCTGAGGTTTGGCCTGAGCCTGGTTCCTGTACTGTTGTTGGTTATGCATCTTTTGTGATGGTTACCATGTACCAGTTTTTTGTGTTGCAACGTTCTTTTGTCCCGTTGCCAGCTTGTGTCATCCATGCTTCAATGCTCCCAGCCAAATTTCCTTAAAGCTCTTTGTTGATGCTTACTTCTCAGATGACTGGCCGCAAGGGGCGGGTGGTGAGCAATGATGATGGAAGCATATCTTATGAGTCAAGGACTGAAATTGATGTGCCTGTGGAAATTCTAAACATCACAGAGAAGCAGAGGTTTATGGATGGAAAGAAGGTATGTTTTCCTGTGTGCTTTTTTTTTTTTTTTTTCCCCTGTACGTTTAGTTATAGAGAGGTTTGTCCTCCATCCCTCCACACCCACAGATTCTGTTAATATAATTGTTGCATGGTCTATTTTTATTAGTAATTGTTCTGATTATTTACATGCTTTAGTGATTATAAGGTGAATGTAGTATAGATTCTGTATGGAACATTCATTGTTGTTGGTATTTAGAACTTTTGAACTCTTGAATACTCAAGCCAGGTGAGATGGTGCCCTTGGAGGCAGAGGCAGGAGGATCTGGAGCTCAGCCTTCTTGACTAAGGTGTACCAGCCTGGTCAACATGAGGCCTTGTCTGAAAAATTAGAGAGGTACAGGGATACTTTAATCTGAAAATGAAAGTAGTGAGTCATTGTAGTGATTTCTTTGATCTCTCTTTTCCCTTCCTCTTTCCCTTTCTTCCTTTTTGTATTAGTTACTTTTGCATCGCTGCCATTGGATATCCAATAGTCACTTAGGACTGAAAGTTAATCTTGGCTCATGATTTCATACTTTCAGCCTATTATGTGTTGTGACCGTGAATGGAAACAAAAGGGAAAATAGATCCCACTTCCTGCCCTTCATAACTTTTAATAATGCCATTATGGTACGAATCTAGCAAGAGAATAATTTGTTGATTAGGGTAAAGTCCTCTAGATTTAATTGAGATATGTTTTAGTAATCTTATGGATGCTTATCAATTGACAGTGAAAATTAGCTGTTAGTCAGCATAATGTAATGACACTTAATGTCATTTAATTTTGAGTGTAGAACAACGTTTACATTTAAATACTGCTAGTAAGTGTTGGTTGTTAGCATGCCTTTAAACCCAGCACCGGGAAGGCAGAGGCAGGTGGATCTCTTTAAGTTTGAGGCCAACCTGGTCTACAGAGTTCCAGATCAGCAGAGCTACACAGTGTAACGCTGTCTTAAACGCCCCCCCCCAAGAAAAAGACCAGCAAAACCCAAAATATATGTATGGCTGTATGTGTTTGCATGTGCCCACAGAGGCCATAAAAGGGCATTGGATCCCTTGGAACTGGAGTCACACATTATTGTGAACTGTTGTGTAGGTGCTAGGAATTAAGCTGGAGTCTTCCTGCAAGAACAAGTGTTCCTAACCACTAAGTCATCTCTTCAGCCCCAGGAGAGAAATTGCTTTTGGTTGTGGGTGGGCTTCAAAACAGGATTATCTCTATCAAACAGTCTGCCTGTCCTGGAACTCACTCTGTAGACCAGGATGGCCTGCCTCTGCTAAGAACTGGGATTAAAGCTGTGTGGAGCCACCACTGACTGGCAAGAAAAGGCTTTTTTAAAAGTTTTGTTTTTAGGGGGCTGGAGAGATAGCTAGGAGTTTAAGAGCACTGACTACTCTTCCAGAGGTCCGGAGTTCAAATCCCAGCCACTACATGGTGGTTCACAACCATCTGTAGTGAGATCTGGTGCTCTCTTCTAGCTTGAAGTCATACATACAGGCAGAACTCTGTATACATAATAAATGAATCTTTTTAAAAGGAAAAGTTTTGTTTTTATTGGAGAGAGAGAGAGAATATTAATATTCTCCCCTTCCCTCAACATTTCTCTTTGTAACCCTGGCTGTCCTGGAACTCAATTTTGTAAACCAGGCTAGCCTGGAAATCTGAGGTTACGTTACCTTACCTCTGCTGGAATTAAAGGCTTATGTCGCAACTTCCTTACTTTGTTTTTGTTATTTTTATTCTTTTTTGTTTCTAGACAGGTTTCTGTAGATAGCCTTGGTTGACCTAAGCTCACTGTTAGTCCAGGTTGGCTTGGAACTCATAGAGATCCACCTGCCTCTTTCTCTCTTCCCCCAAGTGCTAGGAATAAAGGTTTATGCCTGTGTATGTTTATACATTCACTAAGCATGTCCTGGGTGCTTTTGGAGGCCAGAAGATGGTGTCAGATCCCCTTGGTTTTGAGTTAAGAGTTTATGGATTATCTCACGAATCTAGGCCCATGTATGGAAGGAATTTGTCAAAATCAAGCAGTTATGTGTGAATAGAAGACACCACGACCATGGCAACTGTTATAAAAGAATACATTTAGTTGGTCCAGGCTTATAGTTGCGGAGGTTTAATCCATTATCATAGTAGGTAGCATGGCAGCATGCAGGTAGACATGGTGCTGGAGATGGGGCTGAGAGTTCTACATCCAGATCAGCAGGCAGTAGGAATGACTTCTAACTAGCCCTGGCTTGAGCCTCTGAGACTTCCAAGACCCCAAAGACACTTACTTCATCAAGGCCACACCTACTCCAACAAGGCCACAACTTCTAATACTGCCACTTCCTATGACCAAACAGTCACACATATGAGTCTATGCAGGTGATTGGTGATTTTCCCCCCCACCCCCTCCTGGTTTTTCAATGCAGGGCAGGGTATCTCTATTGCTTTGGAGCCTGTCTAGGCACTAACTGTAGACCAGGCTGGCTTTGAACTCAGAGATCCGCCTGCCTCTACCTCCCAAGCGCTGGGATTAAAGGTGTGCACCACCAACGCCTGGCACTTAAGCCATTTCTTTTTATTTGTTGTTTTAGGTCTCCCCCCCGCCCCCCAAGGTTTCTCTGTAGGTCATTCCTATTCAAATCACTACAGTTTTGTTTTTCTCAAGACAGGGTTTCCTGTGTATCTTTGGCTGTCCTGGAACTCACTCTTTAGACCAAGCTGGCCTCCCAACTCATAGAGATCCACCTGCTTCTGCCTCCCCAGTGCTGGGATTAAAAGCGTGTACTACCACTGCCTGCCCTTAAATCATATTTTTTAAAGTTATTACATTTATTTACTGTATGGATGTATGTTTGTGGGCAGTTGTGCTTTGGCATTTGTGTGGAGATCAGAGGATAACTAATGGGGAGTCAGTTCTCTCCCTCTGCCATGTTGGATCCAGGGGATTAAATTAAGGTTTTAAGATTGTAAAAGTTGCTTTTATCACTTATGGCTTACACGAGGTATTATTTCTTCCATGTATTTCTTGGTTAGGGCTTCCATTGCTGTGAAGAGACACATGGTCACAGCAACTCTTTAAAGGAAAATATTGCCAGGTGGTGGTGGTGGTGCACACCTTTAATACCAGCACTCGGGAGGTTGAGGCAGGTGGATCTGCAGGCAAGCCTGGTCTACAGAGCCACTTCCAGGACAGGCTTTAGAGCTTCATAGAGAAACCCTGTCTTGAAAAAAACAAATAAATTAACAGTGAATACATGAATAAAAACATTAAATTGAGGTTTAGTCTGTTACCATCATGGTGTGGATCATCTCAGTGTATAGGCAGACATGGAGAGGTGTCTGAGAGGTAGTGTTGGAGCTTACTATCCTGCTAGCAGCTCCCAAGTAAAGCACACTGAGGCTTACATTTACATTAATTATAAATGCTCAGTCAGTAGTTCTGGCTTGTTACTAGCTAACTCTTACATTTAAATTAACCTGTATTTCTAATCTATGCTTTGCCACATAGCAAGGTACATTTTCTTAGTTTGGCACGCCCATCTAGCTACTTTCTTCCTCTCTGCCCTTCTTCCCAGCATTCTCAGTTTGACTGTCCCTCTTAACTTTGCTCTGTTCAGCAATTGGTCAGTCAGCTTGTTTATTAGACCAATCTTCACAGTGTACAAAGGGATTCTTCCACAGCAGGGTAGCTGAGGTTCCTGCATCTTCTAAGCAGTGGGGATCAAGCTGTGACACTGAGGGAAGCTTAAACAAAAGAGCCCTGAAGACCCGCCCACACAGTGACATGCTTTCTTCACCAAGGCCACACCTCCCAGTAGTGCCACTCCCTATGAGTTTATAGGGGCCAATTCATTCCACTACCACATTTCACTCCCTGGCCCCTATCACCTGGTAGCAATATCATAATAGTCCACTATTTCTTTCTTTCTTTTTTTCTTTTTAAAGATTTTATTTATTTATTATGTATACAATTATCTGTATGCATGCTTGCACACCAGAAGAGGGCACCAGATCTCATTATAGATGGTTGTGAGCCACCATGTGGTTGCTGGGAATTGAACTCAGGTCCTCTGGTAGAACAGCCAGTGCTCTTAAACTCTGAGCTATCTCTCCAGCCCTAGTCCAGTATTTCTTAACTATGTTGCTTTCCTTACATTTTGGAACAGTCATGTATATCCCATGCCTTATATGTTGGAAGTGTGTGGTCTGTTTTCTTAATTTCATATTATGTGGGATTATAATTAAGAGATGCATGAATCTCAGAAAAGACTGAACTTGTGACTTTTGAATATTGTTGAGACTGTGAGAGACTGTGGGGACTTTTGAAGTTGGGCTAAATGCATTTTGCATTATGATATTGTTAAAAGCTTATGGGAGCCCTGGGAGTGGAATGTGGTAGTTTGAATGTAATTGGCCCTCATAAAGAATGTCTTGGTTGAAGTAGATATGTCCTTGCTACAGGAAGTGTGTCACTGTAGGGGCAGGATTTGAGGTTTCCTGTACTCAGGAAACTGTCCAGCTATCATTTTACTTCCTGTTGCCTGTGAGATATAGGACTCTAAGCTGCTTGTCCAGCATCATGTCTTCCTGCTCACCGTCATGCTTCCCATGATGATAATGAACTGAATCTCTGAAACTATAAGTGAACCACCTGCCTTTAGTCCCAGCACTTGGAAGGCAGAAGCAGGTGGATCTCTGAGTTTAAGTCCAGCCTGATCTACAAGAGCTAGTTCCAGGACAGGCTCCAAAGCCACAGAGAAACCCTGTCTTGGAAAAAATACAAAAAAGAGTTGGTGTGGTTATGGTGTCTCTTCACGGCAGTATAAACCCTAAGACAATGTGTTGGCTGAAAGTATGGTAGCATGTGCCTATACTTTTAGAACTTTTGGCATTGAGGCAGGTGGATCCTGAGCTTTAAGCTAGCTTTGCCTACATAGGAGATTTTGTCAATTTTTTTTTAAAGAAAAAATACCACTCCTATTTTCTCTCCCTCTCTTCTGCCTTCCCTGAGACAGGACTTTGCTGTTCTACCTAGTCTGCTCTCCTTCTGCCCCACCCTCTGGCATAGATGAGACCACCACTATCCTTTTCTCTTTTTGAGTCTGGGCCAGGATGTCTTTAGACTCATTTTCCCTCCGGTCTCAGCCTTCTGCGTACTAGGATTGCAGGTGTGCAGTACCATGCCTACACCCTCCCTATTCTAGAACTTGAAATAAGGGCCATGCCTGTGGGTCACAGTAAGGCCTTCCTGTATGCATCAAGCACCTGAACATTCAGAACACAACTGCCCTGTCCTCTACTTCAAGTAACATGTCTTGGACATTATATCTACCGCCTATACCTTACTGGGTACAGCTTGCCTGTGTGCTCATACTTAGTATTAAAGAAGGCTAGGGAAGCTAATCTTGACTCTGGGTAAGTACATGCCACACTGACACCAGGACATCTTACTACTTTGAAATGAGAGTAGATTACATACTGGTGGCCATCACTGTCCATGGGACGAAGTTCTCTGTCTTTGCTAAGAGGTAATTTTTATTTCCGTTTCCATTTCTATATAGAATATTGCTATTATCTCAGAAGCTGCCAGCTCAGGTATTTCATTACAAGCGGATCGGAGAGCTCAAAATCAAAGGCGAAGAGTTCACATGACTTTGGAGTTACCCTGGAGTGCTGATAGGGCGATTCAGCAATTTGGTAAGCGTCTTCATGGGATCCCTGTAGGAGGAAAGGTGTTTCTGGAGACATGCTTGCATATCTATATGAGACATCATAAGCCTGTGCAATTCTCAGGTTCTACAATGGAACTGTGTTCTCTGTATATGGTGACATGTAATGGATTATGAATTCCCTTTTGCCTGTATTGGCATCTGTGGTAGGATTGCACAGGGTTCCTGGCCTCCATGAACAAGATTCCTTGAAAGTATTTTTATTGTAGGTTTGTACAATGTGTGGGTCTGTTAGAGCAGCCAGCTATTTCCATGTTCATTTCTGCCCTTAGTGGCTCTATGTAAGGTACAACCCTGTTCTTTTCTTGTGCATTTTCCTATGACTTGGTGTTCCACACATAAAATCCAGAATGGCTGTGTAGTAGCACTGGTTAACCAAATGGTGGCAGTGCTTTGATGTTTACTCAGGTTCTAATCCTTGAGTAGGGATGAGAGTGATGTTTATTTGAGTTAAATTGCTATTCAGGGGAATTATGAGAAGGGTTATATTTAATTTTTCTTTTCAAGGGTATTTTTGTTAGATGATGCCAACTTAGCTAGGTTTGATATGCAGGCTTGTAATCTTAGCACTGGGTTGATAGAAGCAGAAGTACCAGGTGTTTAAGGCCTGACTAGCTACATAATGAGTTTGAGGTCATTCTGTAGTATGTGGGACCTTGTCTCTATACCTGTTTAATGTTAAATAGTAGGAATTAGATCTTAGAATAGCCTTCTCTACTTAATGAACATAATCATTGAACTGTACACATGTTGTTACAGGAAGAACACACAGGTCAAACCAAGTAACTGCTCCAGAGTATGTCTTTCTGATTTCGGAACTAGCTGGAGAGCAGAGATTTGCATCTATTGTTGCAAAGAGACTTGAGAGTTTGGTAAGTTTTTGAGTTGTGTTAGATGTAACAGATGTTCTGTGTTAGCTAACTTCTGGGAGGGGTTGATGATGACTTGACCAGAGATTCTGTGTTTTGCCAGGGGGCACTTACACATGGTGACAGAAGAGCAACAGAATCTAGAGATCTGAGCAGGTTCAACTTTGATAATAAGGTACATTTTGGCATCTCTAACATTGTGGATGTTTGTGGTTTATGCAGTTGCAGAAAAGGAAATTGATTATTGTTGAAAAACAAATGCTCTGCTTGCTTAGTGTTGCCTTGTATACCCACATGTGAAATGGGATTTCACACATCATTCGAACTGTATACACATCTTTTATTCTCACTGCGAAACACTACTAGAGTATTTGTAAAGACATCAAGAATGAGTTATTGGAAATAAGTCATTGATGTATTGAATATCAGCTGTCTGTAACAGCACACATAGAATACACAATCCTAAAAATATGTGGCATTTAAGAGTGTTAAAAAACAAAATCCAAATGTTGAAGCTGCTTAAAACATTTTTTTCTTTATTGCAGTATGGAAGAAATGCTTTGGAAATTGTCATGAAATCCATTGTAAACTTAGATTCTCCTATGGTATCACCACCTCCAGATTACCCTGGAGAATTCTTTAAAGGTAACTTAAAAATGATCATAACTGGAAATAAAGATGATATTCACTTGATACACTGCTTTTCTTTGGGTGTGTCAAAGCCTACAGTTCCATCCCCAGTATCAAACTAGGCATGCTAGTGTATTTCAGTAATCCCAGAACTCAGCATGATGAGGCAGAAGGATCTTGTATCAAAGCCTGGGGTTCCATTCCCAGTATCAAACTAGGCATGCTAGTGTATTCCTGTAATCTCAGAACTCAGCATGAGTTCTTGAGTTCAGGGCCTAAAGAGATAGCTCAACAGTTAAGAACATTAGCTGCATTTGTAGAGTTCCTGGGTTTGGGTCTCAGCACCTAGATGGTAGCTCACAATCATCTGTAACTCCAGTTCAAGGGTATCCAAAACCCTCCTCTGGCCTCTCTGAGAACTACACATGTGATACCCAGACCTACATATAGGTAAAACATTCATACACATAAAATAAATATTGAAAGCCTAGTGTAGCAGCTCATGTTTTTAATCCCAGCGCTCAGGAGGCAGAGGCAGGTGAATATGTGAATTCAAGGCCAGCCATGTCTACAAAGTGTGAGTCTTAGGACTACACGAAGAAACCCAGTCTTGGAAAGGGTAAGAGGAGCTCTGTGAGGTCTCTTAGGGCGTGTTGATGTTTATTCAACATTTACATTGCCAGTAGTTTAGTTAATACCTGAATGAAAACATTATGGGGTCCTTATGTCATTAATCAGCTAATAGCCTACTTGTACAAAATTGTTGCAATTTTGTTGGTATTAGATAAAGAATCTCCAATATACAGGATGTTCTTGTAAAAGATAAGATTTGTCCTATGTATGTGTGTGTGTTTTAATTATTTTGAGGGGGAGGTATGATGAATGTTCACAGCATGTGTGGAAGTCAGAGGACAACTTGTAGGAGTTTATTCCCTATTACCATATGGATCCCAGGAATTGGACTTCAGTCATCAGGCTTGGCAGCAACAAGTATCCTTCCTTACCGAACAATCTTGAAAGCTCTGGTTTAGTTTTTTAAGACACACTATAACCTAAGTTGGCCTGGAACTCACCCATGCTGTATTTATACTTTGTAGCTATTCTCCTGCTTCAACCTCTTGAGTGCTGTGTAAAGCCACCAGAGACAAAGGTGTACTTTTTGTTTGGTTGGTTTTCAAGACAGAGTTTCTCTGTGTAGCCCTGGCTACCTGGAACTTGCTCTATAGACTAAACCTTGAACTCACCGAGATCCTCCTACCTCTGCTTCCCTAGTGATGGGATTTTAGGTGTGCACCATCGCCTGGCTAAATTTTTGTTTGCTATTCATTTTTTCATTCATTTACTGAGACAGGGTTTCTCTGATTAGCCCTGGCTATGCTTGAACTAGCCCTAACTCTATAGACCAGGCTGGCCTCAGACTCAGAGAAGAGAACCTGCCTCTGTCTTCTCTGTGCTGGGTTAGGCGTGCATCAGCACTACCTGACTGGTAATAAAAGTGTTTCAATGAAGCATTAGGGAAAATTTTAGATCTAGCATCCTAGGGTTTATTTCTCCAGCACTACCAAAAACACTAGAAACCAAACAAACCAGATACACAGTGTGAGGTTCTGTGATTTAGGGTATTGCAGGGGATAGAGATTATTGGGTACTTTGGTTACCAATTCACTTCAGGTGATTGGAATAGAGCAAGATACATAGGTTAAATCTAAATTTTTTGTTTTTGTTTTTCGGGACAGGGTTTCTCTGTATTGCTTTAGAGCCTGTCCTGGAACTAGCTCTGTAGAACAGGCTGGCCTTGAACTCAGAGTTCCGCCTTCCTCTGCCTCCCGAGAGCTGGGATTAAAGGAATGTACCATCAATGCCCAGCTAAGGTTAAATATTAATGCTAGAACTTAATTTTGTTTCATTAACAATAACAGCTCATTGAGTCATTTGGATTGTGAACATTTTTCATAATTTTTTTTCTTATAGATGTTCGACAAGGTCTGATAGGAGTGGGCCTGATTAATGTAGAAGATCGGTCAGGAATTCTTACTCTTGATAAAGGTAATGTCACTGTACGTGCATGAAACTTGTATTAATGGAACCTCCTTTAGACTGTTGTACACTAAAGCTTTAAATCAACTCTGTGAGGGGGCATGCTTGTAAAAGTATGAGTACTATTGCTCACTTGTGAAAGAATCCTCAACTAAACTGTGTGTGTGTTCTCATATTTATGAAAGAAAGCCGGAGGATGACTTTGAAGAAGTCTGGTTCTCTTCTTGCCACCTTGCTTTTGAGACAGATTTTTTTTTTTTTTTTCCAGCTTCTGAACTGACTACTCTTAAGCCAGCTGGCCTATAAGTTTCTGGGAGTGTCTTCTGTCTGCCTCCCCTCCCACTGTAGAATTGCTTGGATTACAGATAGCCACTGTATCTGGTATTTCTTTACTTGTTCTGGTGATCCAACTGATTAGCCTTGGGTGACAAGCACTTCAGTGAGTTGAATCATTGAACTGCCTCTGTCATATTGTATTTTTGTGACACAGACACTCTAGCCTAGATTGACCCTACCAGACACTTGGCAGTGCTTTTGCCTTAGCCACCCTATAGTGCTGGAATTATAGGTGGTTCTAGAATAGAACCCAGAGCCTATACTAGTAAAGTGTAATTGCACTGAGTTACCTGAAACCCTCTTTGTTGTTTATTTGCTCATTTATTTTTAGCGTCTGTTTCTGTTCATAGTAATTGTTATGTGACAAGTGAGGGTAGGAAATAATGGCAGGGCATAAGGGAAAGAAAAAAGCTCCTCATCCTGTCTTGGATTTCATGATCTCCTATATACGTACTCAAAAATGATCTGCACGTCTTTTTTTTTAAAAAAAAAAAAAAAAAAAAAAAAAAAAAAAAAAAAAAAGCCATTCCAGCCAGGTGTTGGTAGCAGATGCCTTTAGATCCAGCACTCGGGAGGCAGAGGCAGGCAGAACTCTGAGTTTGAGGCCAGTATGGTCTAAAGAGGTAGTTCCAGGACAGGTTCCAAAATGATACAGAGAAACCCTGTCTCAAAAAACAAACCAAAAAAAAAAAACAAACAAACCTTTCCAACAGGGTCCTGTTTGGCCTGTAATCAGCTATTTGCACCCTAATGATACTGTTGGTTTTGCATTCACATGGACTTTTTTCCTCCAGATAGTTATTGGCAATGACCTAAATCATTCTGGATAGAACTTGAATTGTCCTAAACCTACTGATGCCTCAACAACCTCCTTTTAAAAAAAAATCTTATTTGTTTGTCTATTTACTAGTTTATCTTTGGTGTGTTTATGTATTGAGGTAGGTTCTTTCTATGTTTCTCTGTACTGTCCTGAAACTGTATCTAGACCAGGCTGGTCTTAGAACTCAAAAAGAGATCCACTTGCCTCTTTCCTTGAGTGTTTCTCTTTATTTTTGAGATATTGTGTTACAACATGGGCCAAATTCACTTTTAACTTCTCTGTATGGAATCTAGGCCTCGAACCTTTTGCCTTAGCCATCTGAATAACTGGGAAAGCTACATGCCCTTGGGCGAGGGCTTCAGTAGATTGCTTTTTGTTGTCACTCCTTTCCCCCCTCTTTTTCTTCTGAGTCAGGGTTTCCCTGCGTAGCCCCAGCTATCCTGGAACTAGCTCTATATGTCTTAACTACTGAGTATCTCTGGCTCCAAATCTTTTTTGAGACAGTCCTCATCTTGTTTCATTCAGCTTCCCCAATGCTGGGCTTGATTATAGGCTTACACACCACTCTTTGTTTCCCAGCATTAGATTTTAACCCTAAGGTCAACTGCCAAGTTGTGACACACAACTGGGATACCCCAGCACTGGGGAGACAGGCAGGTAGATTTCTATGAGTTCAAAACCAACCTGGTCTACAAAGTGTGTTCCAGGACAGCCAGGACTATTACATAGAGAAATCCTGTCTAGGAGAAGAAGAAACGTAAATAAATAAAAGATTTGATATTGGTGAACCAGCATTTCTTTCTCCCTCCCTCCCTCCCTTTCTCTCTCTCTCTCTCTCTCTCTCTCTCTCTCTCTCTCTCTCTCTCTCTTTCTCTTTTCTTTTCTTTCTTTAAGGTTTTATTATGTATACAGTGTTCTGCCTGCATATATGCCTACAAACCTGAAGAGGGCAACAGATCTCATTATACATGGTTGTGAGCCACCATGTGGTTGCTGGGAATTGAACTCAGGACCTCTGGACGAGCAGCCAGTGCTCTTAACCTCAGAGACATCTCTCCCACCCCCAATATTCTTATGTGCTAAATTATATTCATGACTGTCTTGTGGGCTTGTGTTGCAACTGCTGGTGGGCAAAGGTCAAAAGGGGCAGGTTACAATAGTGCAGTCCCCTTTGTAAGGGCAGTTGGGAGGAAGACTAGACATGGAAGTGAGACTTTGAAGGTTTGCCTAGCTAAAGGATGAATTTTTAATTTCCCATGGGAATTCATGGAATTTTTTCATATAATCTTGTCATTTCAGACTATAACAATATAGGAAAATTTTTAAACAGAATTCTGGGCATGGAGGTGCATCAGCAGAATGCGTTGTTTCAGTATTTTGCAGACACTCTTACTGCAGTTGTTCAAAATGCCAAGAAGAATGGAAGATATGACATGGGAATCCTAGGTGAGTGGGACACCTTTGTACAGTCCATTCTCAGTTTCTGGTCCAGAGTATCTCCCCACTTATTACCTTATTATCCTGTTTCTTTCTGTAGATCTGGGTTCTGGAGATGAGAAGGTCAGGAAGAGTGATGTGAAGAAGTTTCTGACTCCAGGTTACTCAACCTCTGGCCACGTAGAGCTATACACAGTAAGTCTACAGCATAGGTGTTGCTTTGCAGTGTCCACACAGGAACAGCATTTAATTCTCTGTGTCTTTCACAGATTAGTGTGGAGAGGGGAATGTCCTGGGAGGAAGCAACCAAGATTTGGGCAGAGCTGACAGGACCGGATGATGGCTTTTACTTATCATTGCAAGTAAGAATTGAATTTTCCTGGGTTTCTTACTTTACTTACTTTTATGGCTTCTTTTTGTTTTGTTTTTCTTTTTGAGACAGATTTCAGTATGTTGCCATGGCTTGTCCTTGAAAACTTTGTCACTTAGACTAGCCTTGAATTCACAGAGATCACCTTGCCCCTGTCTCTAGAGTGCACAATCATGTCTGACTCACCTTAACTATTAAAATTGTTATGTAGTTATTAATTTGTTACTGTGTGTGGGTGTGCATGCCATGTCAGGCTTAATTTCATTTTGTATGCATAGCATGTTTTGCTTACATGAGCATCTCTGTGTGGAGTTTTTATTTGGTAACCACAAAGGCCAAGAAAGGCATCAGATTCCCCAGGGACTGGAGAACAGACAGTTGTGAGCCACCATGTGAGTGCTGGGAACCAACCTGGGTCCTCTCCAGTGTTCTTAACCAGTGAGCCATCTTTTCTGTCCTGCACATTCTGATTTTAAAAACAGTTGTATTTCTGTATTAAAGGGGGCATTGGCCAGATACAGAGAGTATAATCCTTGAGCCTCTCATCTTACTCACTGTGGTCTCTTCTGGTCAGTCACCAGTGGGTCTTGGCTACCTGCCTTTTATTTGTTTTGTTTATTTGTTCATTTTAGGAAGGTCTCTATGACCTTGTTTGCTGTTGAGTTTATGCCTTTGGTACCTCAGAGACATAGTAGAGATGAAAACAACAGTAATGTACGTTTTCTCCTTGAGTACCCTCAGGTTTTAGATATGGAGCTCATCTCCAGCTTATCACTGTGCATCAAGGCTGGCCTTATATATACATCAGTCTCTAGAGTGCCAGTACTACAGGCATGTATCACCTACCACATTTAGCCAGCCTTTTCCAGTAGCCAACTTTTTTAAATAATGTATTGCTCTTGTAATTGGATGGCATTGTATTTTTTAATAGTAGTAGTTTTTGTCTGCATGTTAAAGTAGTTCTACTTATTGGGCATTGGTGCCACACACCTTAATCCTAGTACTTGAGAGGCAGAGATAACCCAATTTCTATGAGTCTGGTCTACAGAGTGAGTTACAGAACAGCCAGGGCTACACAGAGAGGATGGGAAGGGGCTTACAAGGTACACCTGTAGCCAGGAGCTGGAGGAAGGGGCAGATTTTTCTTTGTGGAGTAACAGCTGATGGGTTCTTCACACTAGATAACCAGCCCCACACTCACACATTGGGGTAGCCTCTGGGTAAAAGCAACAACAGGCATGAAGTTGGGAGGAGAATGTTTTGTATTGTCTCTGGAGCTCTAGGAGAAAATTGGGTTGGCTATAATAGGGCTCTAGGCTATAATAGGGGTGGCACACAACTTTAATCCCAGGCAGGTGGAACTGTGAAGTTTGAAGCCAACCTGGTCGACATAGTAGGCTCCAGTGTAACTAAGGCTACACAGAGAAACTCTTTCTGGAAGAAAAAAAAAAAAAAGTAATTCTCAAGGTAAATAAGTACACATACATAGACATAGGAAGGCTTCTGTGGAGACAGGCACAGGAGTTAATATGGGCTGCATAGTGAGTTCCAGGACAGCCTGGTACATGATTGGAGGTCTCAAAAAAACAAAGCAAAACTCTAGCTAGAGAGATGGCTCAGAGGTTATGAGTACTGGCTGTTCTTCCATAGGTCCTGAGTTCAAATCCCAGCAACTGCATGGTGGCTCACAACTATCTATAGTGAGTTCTGGTGCCCTATTCTGACATGCAGACAAAATAATGCATACGGAATGAATGAATGAATCAATCAATCAATCAAATAAATCTTTAAAATAATTAGAAAATAGAAGTTCATTTAAAAGAGGAGGGGGCTGGAGAGATGGCTCAGCAAGTGGTTAAGAGCATTGGCTCTTCAGACCTGGGTTCAATTCCTAGCACACAAATGGCAGCTTGTAACTGTCTATAACTCTAGTTCCAGGAGATCTGATATTTTCACACCAACGCACATAAAATAAAGTAAATTATTGAAATATATTTTAAAAATCAAAATTTTTTTTAAAAAGTAAAGACTGCTGTCTTTATGTGTCATTAGAGTTAGCTAAGTGGCCTCCTCTCAAGTCTTAAATGTGGGCTTATTGTCACATAACTTACACATTTAGCTGGTGTTATCTTTGTTTGTTTGTTTTTGAGACACGGTTTCCTATGTAACAGCCATAGCTGCCCCTGGAACTAACTCTGTAGATCAGGCTAGTCTAGAACTATCAGATATCCACCTGCTTCTACCTCCTAAGCCCTAGGATTAAAGGCATGCACTACTACTACCTTATTTGGTGTTGTCTTTTGAATTTGTTGCTGTGGTGTTGTTATAGAATATTTTTAATTGTGTAGAAACAAATGCTTACATATTTTTCAATTGTTCTTTTAATAGATAAGAAACAACAAAAAAACTGCAATCTTAGTTAAAGAAGTCAACCCTAAGAAGAAACTATTTTTAATTTACCGACCAAACACTGGGAAACAACTCAAACTAGAAATTTATGCTGATCTGAAAAAGAAATATAAGAAGGTATTTTCTCACTCACACATAGTACTATGTGAATGCTTGCTTCATGATAGGGAACTAGATGTTAGCTATAATTCCTGGATTCAAGGATGGTGTGGTTTTTTTTTTTTTTTTTTTTTTTTTTTTATTTTATTTGTTGCAGTTTTGATGTTACTGCCCATTGAGATATGATGAACATGTGGCTCTCCATGCCCAGATCATAGTGCAATGGTTTGGTACAGGGTGTCCTTCCTATCAGCTTTTGATTTGTGATGAGCATGCCGTATGTTTTTGTCTTGCAAATTGCCAGAAAATAGTCAATACCTGTTTTTCCAACATTACGTACATATTTTTTAAAAATACTACCTTAACTTTCTAGAAGTTAACCATATTCAACTAGCTCTCTGCTAGTTGAGGCCCTAAGAGGGGCCTCAGTTACTGGTGGTATTTACATTCTGCTAGTAGTGGAAGCTAGGCCTTCTGATGAAGATAGTTTTGTTGTCAACTGCTCCTGTAATTAGTAACCAGGTCAGGTGTTCAGTTGTTACAATGGGGTTTTCTGTCTTTGCAGGTAGTCTCTGATGATGCTCTGGTACACTGGCTGGATCAATATAATTCTTCTGCAGACACCTGTACTCATGCGTACTGGTTAGTGTTTCCATGTTTCTTCCCATTTTTTATATGTGTGTGTAATTTACCTAACAACATAATACAAGCAGAACACCCACACACAAAAGTAAAAATAAATAAAATCTCAAAAATTCATTACATTATTGGTGTGTATGATATTGGTCTGAGTCATACATGTGGCAGTCAGAGTACAACTCCTATTAAGTTCATTCTTCACCCTTTAGAGTTCGGAATCAAGCTCAGGTCCCTGGGCTGCTAGTGTCAATTCTGAAAGAGCTACCTTCCCACCATTTTGTTTTTCTTGTATTGAGTTTATTTTTCTTTGACAACTTAGATACCTCTGTCAATGAATTCAGAAACTTTTTGACTATACTGTAACCTCTTTTTTTCAGTTCTTATATTTGTGATATTTGTACTCTATTTACTTCAAGTCAGACTTGAAACTGGCACCAAGGGTTCATCGACACAGTATCAGCTGGCAAGTGGTTTTCATAGTAGCACTGCCACCATAAAACAGGGTATTGAAGTGTCCCAAGTGTGTAGATAGTAACCAAGTGTGCAGGAAGGCCATCCTCAGGTACAGCTGAACTTAAGAATTGGGACCCCTTAGATTTGGAAAGGATAACCTAGTAAGTAAGCCCAAGGGATGTCCCAGGAAAAAGTCATCTATTTTCCATTTGAAGTATGAGGAGGCTTTGCAGATATACTCATGTGTATGCATGTTTCTACACATATTTCTCTTTCCATGTTTCTTAGGCGTGGCAATTGCAAAAAAGCAAGCTTAGGATTGATATGTGAGATAGGTCTCCGCTGCCGCACATACTATGTGTTATGTGGCTCAGTACTGAGTGTCTGGACGAAAGTGGAGGGTGTTCTGGCCTCTGTCAGTGGCACAAATGTGAAAATGCAGATAGTGCGGCTAAGAACTGAAGATGGACAGCGGATTGTAGGTGAGTTTTTATTTTTTATTTTTGTTTTGTTTTTGGGGGGCAGGAGAATGAGATCCTACATCATCATCATTATTTACTTTTTTTTCCCCCACTCACTTCTAACACCTTAGATTTCTTACAAATTTATCTATCTGTTCTAGTAATGGGCACAGAACAGCAGAACATGCTGTCCATTCTGCAAAATCGAGAGCAGTTTAGCCTGGTTTATGGCTTCAGACCCTCAGGTGCTGGGATCACAGACAGGCACCACCATAGCCATTTGTACTTGATCCTTATGGTAGACATTGTGATCTGCTAGTAGTTGTCTCTGGCACTGCTCTCAACTTCTCCTGACCATTACCTTCTGCTACTCTCTGCTCTGGAGATGACCTATTCCTTTTCAGGTGATGTATTCAGCCAGCCAGGCTTAGGCAGTGCACTTTCAGGCTGTGACCCAGAGGAGAGCTTTGAGTCCAGCAGACTAGGTCAGAGCACTGTGATCGGTGCTAGATGTCCCACAAGTGGGGTAGTTCCTGCACCATTCCTTGCTGACAACTTCTTTATGTAATGAGAAGATTGCTTGCTAGTTAGTGAACTTTTTTTTTCCATTCAGGTAGTTGTGGTTTGCAAAGGTTTCATATAAATGAGTTTGTTTGCAGCTGCTGGTTTCTTACAAAAGAAAAAGCTCACAGACCACAGAAGCAGATGGATCTCTATGAGTTCCAGGTCAGCTTGGTCTACAGAGCAAATTCCAGGACAGCCAGGGCTGTTATACAAAGAAACCCTATTGTGGGAGGGAAGCATACTCAGCTGCTACATTGGGTTCAGATTCCCCACAGGGTAGAAATTCCCTTAGCTAGGACCTGTGCCTCTACTTGCCTTATACTCTTGCGTCCATCTCTGCCAATGACTAAGACATACATTTTCACCCTCTATCTTAGAATAAGTTTGTGCCTTATTCCATATTGAGGCATCTGGGAGCCTCCTAGGAACAGCTTGAGTTCTGTCTGGTTTCTGGGGGAGATTGGTTTGCAGTCCTCTGTGAAAATGCACTACTATACAGTGGTTTCTGCTGGATTCTCCTTCATAGATTCTCCTTGCTAATTACAGGTTTGATCATTCCGGCAAATTGCGTGTCTCCTCTTGTAAATCTTCTGTCAACTTCAGACCAGTCTCAGCAGCTCGCAGTCCAACAAAAGCAGCTGTGGCAGCAGCATCACCCACAGAGCATCACCAACTTGAGCAACACATAAACAGCAGCAGCTTCCGTGTGGTGTTGAATGCTGTGAGAGCATACCACTTGCATAAAAATCAGGGACAGTTTCCAAAGAGTTCTTTTCTTTTTTCTTTTTTTTTTTTTTCAGTTGTGCTCTCTAGTTAATTTGGGGGGTAAGGACAAACCTGGAATAGGCAGCAACGCTGACAGCAAGCAGAGTGGAGGGGACACATGTCTTTCCTCTTGCTTCCTTGGGGCTGCCTGTGCGCTTTTACTTTGGGTGGGTGAGCAGAGCAGATGTATGTGTGCGCGTATGTATGTGTCAGTCTGTCTGTGAGTTTGTTAAATGCTAAAAGACCACAGTTGGTTGAAAATGCTTGGAACTTCCCAAACTGGCTTTACTTTTCCTTTCTACAGTGCTCAGGGTTAACACAGTACATCCTTGTCAATACTGTGGGAGTTCCCCAGATGCATGTATTCCAAGTTTCTAAATACAGAATATATATATTGGTTTCTTTTCCAACTTAAAGTGTTTCCTACAGCATGAAGTGAAGGGTTGCGTGCCATGCATTCAGGTTCTTTTGTAGCTTTTGTTGGCAGTGCATGTTTTTGAAAGCATGTGTAATCAAGATTACCACAGAAGTCACATGTGGAGAGAAGCATTGGAGATATACAGCATTGGGTATTGCATTTCTAGTGTTGATACCTGGGTGTTGCTTCTAACCCTCAGCCCTGCCCGCTCTTCCCTGTCCCAGGTTTCTTGTCAAAGTAGTAAGTACATACCTTTTTTATGATAAAACTCTTTAAAAGTTTATTTTAATGTGTTGATAGTATTTCTAATTTGTGCTGCAAAAAATGGCTGTGAGCCTTTTCACTAGTTACATTTTCCTTAACTTAAACATAGTTTTAGGAAGGAGTATAATAATTGGCTTCCATCTTGCACATAATCTTTTTTACTTCATTATCTGAATCTGCTTGGTCATTCAAACCGGAAACCGTGCTTGAGTTGTAAACTAGACATTGAGAAAACACTTGGCTTCTGCTGTATGTTGTTGTTGTTGTTGTTGTTGTTGTTACCCAGTAACTTGAATATTGTTTAATGTGCTATAAGACATTGTAGAGATTATCTCCAGCTGTTAAAAAATGGTAATGTACAAATGTGAATAGACACTTATCTATAACATGGGTAAGTTTTGTTTCGCCTATAATAGATGTTTATAAAAAAAAAAAAGTGAGGGGACAATTGGTTTTTTTGTTTTATCTCCCAGTCGCCCCTCTCCCCCATTTTTTTCTATCTTTTTTTTTTTTTTTTTTTTTTTTTTTTGCTTGCACAGGTTGCACTATTGAAAAATTGAGATTGTATAAATCTGGTTAAAAGCTACAAGATAACAAATCTTGTAGATGTTGAATAAAAAAGTTATTGTACTAATGAAGTGGACTCTTGTTTAGGCCATCACTGGGGACTCCAGGCCTAGGTAGCAGGGCTCTGTAGAACTCGGTGTGGCCTTAGCCTTTTAGGTAGCCTTAGAGTCTGACTGATGCCCCTTCTTGAAATCTGAGGTGATCTTAAGGATGGGGTAAATGATGGTACTTTTGAATGTTTTTCAAGTTGAATTATTCTCTTTGTAGCTTTTTAAACTTCTCAAAGAATTGGGTGAGGTGTGTGTAGTGACAGAAACCTGATGGAGCACTTGGGGCTCTCATTCTCTCTAGTTTCTTTGGTTAAGTTTACCGTAATATTGTTCCAGATTTATTTATTTTTAGTGCCTCAAAGAACAAGTGGAGAATGGTTTTTGTTCTTGGGCACATTTTGCCCAGTGGATGCAACTTTTATCCTCATTCCGTGTATCTCAGGCAGTGATTTCATGAGCAACAAGCAGTATCCCTTTGTGACCTAGATCCGGTTGGCCACTAAGAATAGAATTGTGTCTCCCTTAACAAAACCTCTGAGCTTTTCTTTTTGTACTAGTGGACCATTATCTTTGGCATGTTAAGAAAAAAGGCCTAAGCAACGGGTTTGGCTTAACTCACTTTCTCCGTGAGACCAAATCGCAGAAAATAGGGAAGTTGCTGTGTTCTAAGCTGTTGATCGCAGCCCCATTGCATGTGCAGATGTCTGTTTTGGTGCGTCCTGGCTTTTCTTATGCTTTCAAAGCACCGCCTACTGGTTAGTGAACACCTCACTCACTCACTGATGACGCTGTGACATGTGCTCTTGGAGTAGCCAAGTCTTGGTTAGGGGTCTGTTTGTGTTCTGTTCATCATTTTTGTTGTTTAGTAAGAAAAAGCCCTTTCAAAGCAGACTTGAAAAGGCAGGGGTTGTGGAAGACCGCAGAAACTGAGTCACCTTTGCCCACTTCAGTGTGTGTGACACCTGGGTTGATGCCAACCCCTCTGGAGAGGAGCATGTGCTGTCTGCACTGTGCCCTACAAAAATCATGTCAGTCACCAGGAAAGCTCCAGCATCCAAGGGTTCCTTGTATCACAGTCCAAGTCGTCTCAGCCACTGTCACATAAAGTAGGTCCAGTCTCCCACCAGATCTGAATGCCACATCTGCATCCAGGGGCATTACTTAACTCTACCCTCCATAAGTCCTTGGCCTCTGTGATGCCTTTTCTCCCACTTAAGCAATACATCTCTGAGCAGCAGATCCTATTGTTGGTCCCATCAGTGTTTTCAGAGTTTACAGTCCCGATTGTGCTGAATCACTCCCAGGTCCCATGCTGCTCAGGTGTGCTTGCTAGGGAGGTCATGTCTCCCTCTTCTAGCAACCTCTGTGCCACAGGCTTGCCTTCTTTGTGGTCAAGCCAGAGCTGTCAGTGGTGCAGAGTCAGAGAAGTATTAAAAGTGTTTATGTAAACACAAGTTGTCAGAAAGCTAGGCAGGTTAAGCAGTTTTCTCTTTTTCTACTAAATTTGCAGATCCGCTTTGAGTGTTTGCTTTTTCCTGTGTGTATAGATTAGCAAGAACTTGTATCCAAAGCACTGTAGTAGCTGTAGGTGTGTACATATGTGTATTTATTCTTACTCAGCACTTAAGAGCCTTTTTGAGTTACAACAATAAACCTTGTAATTTGCTCTGTCTATGGAAAGAAAAGTTCTAGATTACCAAACTTCAGAGGAGTTTTGGCTGTAGCCTTTCAGACATTTATTTGCTGATCTCCATGCCATGATATTAGAACAACTTGTGAGAAACCATCGAAGGGGAAGGAGGACTTCCTGTCCTCCGCTCCCCATCTTAGCCTAGGGGCCGCTGTGGCTCGCTTGAATGCAGGCAGAGACATTCTCATCCCATGAGACCTAACCCAAGGAGCCTGGTTTTATGGAGGAATCTTTATGGACACTGGCACTTGCTAGGAATGGCGTTCTTGGGCCAGCATCCACACAGTGAATATTTAGTTAGTTGAGGAATACCCATGGCAAAAGAAACACTGTGATGGTGTGTTTGTTAAATGTCCTTCCTATTCCGATGTGTGTGGACTCTGACGTACACATACACACATACCCCACATAGGTGCTTTGGCACACTGTGCTCAAATGAGCCAAGCATTCCATGTCATGGATGTGGCTGATCAGACAAACCATTCGCAAAAAAATGTCTCAACAAGGCTAGCTGTCTAAAGCAAGATTGCCCACTCTCTGTTGTATGCTGTACTTATATATGTACATAATGAGTGTATAGGGAAGTGTGAGTTCTTCTACATTTCAAGTGTAAATCTTGTAAATCAGGACCCCATTTACTTGTTCTTATGCGCCCCCCCCTCCCTCCTATTTATTCTTTTCTAGACTCCCATATGGGGCATCTTAAAATTCGTTATTTTAAACTTAGGAAACTGTGGAAAGCTTCTTAGGTGAGTCAGTAGTTGTGTTAGAGTTCATCTTTGCATCCTGGTTGTAGGAGTCATCGTTGCCCACATTGCCCACAACCTGGCTGTGCTGTCTTGGGTTACACCTGAGCCCCACTCCTGACCCTGTAACCATGTGACTGGTTGTGCTCATCTTTGTTCTCCAGAAGCTATAGTGAGCCTGATGGTTTCATGTTTAAGGAAAAGCTTCTCTAGACCTCCCTTGAGCTCCTTTAACTAATCTTCAGTGTGCCTACAGCCAACTACAGCCCCTTAGAACCCTGACTGACTGACTCTTGTGCCTTTTTTGAGGCCTGCAGCAGTCCCTCAGTCCCTGCCACCTGCCTGACAGGAAGACTTTGCAGAGAGTTCATTGGCTTTTGGCCTGGCTGCTGGCTTCCTGTGTATAAGAAGTTAGATTTCTGTGACCCCACAGGTGACAACAGATTACTTTATGACAAACACCAGTAATCTGATTATAATAAGTGATCACAAATATTTCTTAGTATGTGACAGATGACCTTATCTATTCTAGTCTACTGTAGAAGCTGCCACAACCTTTAGCACACAAGGCAGGTCATTGTTAGGGTCTCATTCCTGATGAGGGGATTGATGCTGGTGCTGAAAGCCCGGTGAGGCCATGGAGATGGTGCTGACCCTCACCAAGGGCACAGGAGTGGGGTTTTATTTACAAGCCTTCGTACCCTCAGAAAATGTCCTCTTTAATTCTCAGGAAAGACTTTGGTGAACACTCAGCTTGGTAGACTTGGTGAAAATTGCCTACATTTGGTTGAGTCTTTGGAACTTAGTTGTCATGATTGAAGGTCTGTCACAGATTGCTCCAGCAGAAATTCTCTCCCTTCCTCTGGTGCCTGAGACATAGTTGGCCTGTGTCCTGCAGCAGCAGCCAGTCATCTATAGGGATATAGCAAGGCACGGATAGGCCAGGAGTTCTACCGCAAACTGTTAACAGTGTGATACACCTTTTAGTTAGTGTGGAGAGAGAGGAGGTGGCCGCTATGTTTTTGTTTTGGTTTTTTTTTTTTTTTTTTTTTTTTTTTTTTTTTGTTTTGTTTTGGTTTTGGACTTCAGGCTGAGAAACAACATCATGCAAGTCCCTTGGGAATTATTAGTCTGGCCTTTCTGCTTCTGGCCCTCTAACCCAGACCCCACCCCAAGGGTCTTGTGAGCCTGTGCAGATAGATGGGGAGGACCTTGTTGCCATAGCAGTGACTGTGACACTGAAGAAGGTAAAGTGGCATGAGCTGCTCTTCTGGCTTTACTTTATGGGACTGAGGGAACTTGCTAAATTTTTCTTAACATAGCACAGTGCAGCCTCACCACTTTAAAAAAAAAAAAAAAATCACCCTGTTCATACTTCTTACTGAATTTGCTAACTATTCTTTTCAATAACCACTTTATCATCAACCATGAAGGGTGGGAGAGGTGTACTGTGTCTCTGCAATAAAACTTGTGCCAGGTTCTACCTCCTTGCGCAGAGGGTATTTTCTATGTAGGAACTTGTCTTCCTCATCTGACACGGTGCACCTGAGAACATCTGGAGTCCGAAGACCTGAAACAGAGTCTCATGTGAACTCTTGGTGGCTTCTGGTTTCCTCAGTTCTCTTTGTATGGCTGCTCTGCACAGGAGTGTCCATCTGAAGGAAGGCTGCACGCTGCTCCCACGATGCCACATGCTGCCTTCAGCCTCTCCCAAGAACCTGCTGCCGAGTGTCCAGACCCAGTGCTGCCATCATTTTGCTATGTAACTCTCAGATCCAGCCTCTTGCGATACAAGTGTGTCGGCTTCACTGAGCAGGGTTCATTCACCCACAAGTAGAAACACTCAGTCTTCACAATGAAAGTACTCTGTATTTAGGTTTTGGTTGTGGTTTTGTTTTTTATTTTTGTTTGGATTTTGTTTTGTTTTGTAGAATTCTTAAATAAAATTAAACAGTTAAATATCCTTTTCATTCTGGTGTTGTGATGTGGTTTTATGGCATCTGTCACCATGTCATTAACTTTCCTCACCTCAAAAGTCTTGTCCCTTGGCAAAGGTTGAAGTTTTTATGTTGGTACTTTGAAGGGCTCTGGAGGTCTGGGTAGGCATAGCTTGGTATGTGATAGAATACTTGCCTAGTGGGTGCAAAGAAGGCCTTAGGCTTCATTAGCATAGAGGCCAAATCACTGAGGGCACTATAAAGTAGATGTAGGGTTCTCAAGGTGTCTATCTTTAGACCTCTGTACATGTGGTAGTGGACACACAGACACACCAAAATAGCAAAATAGACATAAAAACAAAGTAGTTGACTTGCCTGTGTCT